AATTTGGCATTCGGATTAAGGCTCTGACAGTGCATCTCCATTAGAATTTTGATTTTTATTTATTTTTATGGTTTTCGCATTTGAGTTGAAAGTTGATTCTTGGGTGCTTCACATGCGAATTACCTTGTTGCTTTTGCTGACTTCTTGCTTAAGGGCTGATTGTGCCTTCAAATATATATATATATATATATATATATATATATATATATATTGCAACTTCAATTATTGTTAAATTTTAGTAGAAAAATTGGGAACTTCTACTATAACGAAGTTGATGGTTGCTTGATATAAACCACTGAGGTTGAGGGTTTCTAATACTGGTCTGTGGACAATGAGTATAGCCATTACTGAATATACATGAATTATTGTGTCTAGGTTTTGTATACCCAAGATTCATAAGACGTGTAGGCTAGGTACTTGACATATGTTGTGGGTTTTGGACTTACACATAATTCAGATTTATATTGTTTTACTCTTTATATTATGGCACACAAGTTCCTCACATGAGTGCAATTTATTGCTGAATTTTCAATATAACACAGGTATTTATGTCACCGAGACAATAACCCTGCATGTGCACACAATCATGGCATGCTTTAGGGTCTCATTTACACTTGTTGAGCTTAATTGCAACTTGATGATTCAAGTGAAATTAACTTGTGTTCGTATCCTTATACTCACAATAATGGCTGTTTATTATGTGTGGACATTGTTTCATGGTATATGATGGTGTATGTGACTGATGGGTCGTAAATTCGTTCCCATCTAAGCCCATTTTGATGGCAAAATACCATACGTTCCCTCATCTGATGAGCAACTTCAGCATGAAAATCATTTGTTTTACACATTTGTGACAAAAACACAGTGGGGGAACAGAGGTAACGTATTCCTTTAAAATATATTAAAAGGGGAACGGACTGAGACGCATTTAATGCACCTGCTCCATTCATTTAATGCTTCTGTACACTTTGCAGGTAACGTAGAGTTAAAGACTTCTAAAAAGCAAGGCGGTGCACCAACTGAGCAGCTGGAAACGTGAAGAGCAGTGAATCAAGAGTTCTCATTGGCTGAAAACAGAAGCAAAACATGGGAAGGCCTGCAAACAACGGCTAATCATCACCAAACCCTGTTCCATTCAGCAATTCACGCAAGCTTCACACTCTGCTGCCACCGTCCCGTCCCCTCGTTCAAGAAACTAGCTCCAAGGGAATTACAGTCTTGCCATTCCTCTTCCAGCTATAAATAGGACCTCCCTCACACAAAAACATCATCGAATCCTGGAGGGTTTGCAGTCCGAAAGGAAGAGATCACTTAGTAGTAGTTAGTAACTTAGTTTAATTTTCAGTTGTAATTATAGTTAAGCGACAACCCCTCTTCCCTTCTCTGTAAACAACCATCAAGACTCCTCACGAGCAATTACACATCTTTCTCCATTTTCTGTTTCTTTTTACCTCAAAGTTCTGGACAACAACCAAGGAAGAAGAACCAACCTTCAAGGAAGAAAGAATCTTCCTCTTCAACCAAGACAAAGTGGCGCCCCAACTTCAAGAAAATGGATTTTCTTCATACACAAAGCCTGTAAGTGGAAAATGATAGTTGGCTTTTACTTTCTATGGTTGGCTTAACAACTTTCATGAAAGAAAATAACCATTTTGATGGACCATGGCTAAATAAAAAGTGGGTTTTCAAGCTTGGTGAAGCATGGAGGTTCAGTTATGGAGGAAAGAAAACACGATGGAGAAGGGAGTTTCTGAAGAAATCAAGTGTCTTAATCACTTTTGATGGTGTTTGACTTTAGTCAAACTCTTTAATTAATAAATTACTCATTTACCCTTCTTGTTAATTCCTTCTAACCAATGACTTAGAACATCTAACATGTGTTTCTAAGCTTTTAAAAATCATGAAATAGTTTCTCACTAAATTATTTCTGAGTTTTAGGTAACTTTTGCTTAATTGCTTTTTTACCTCAAAACTTTCATTATCCCGAAAAGTAACTTAAATTATAAAAATTAGATTCTTCATCTAATCAACCTCTTTTAACCATTAAATAATTCTTAATTACTTAATTTAATTATTTGGATTATTATAGATATACCACATATTGAGAAGTCATTACTTGATTTTTACCTAGATTTTCAGAGAAGTCATTACCATTTTTCAAGCTCCTCAAGAAGGAAGCTGAGTACAGATGGGGATCAAAGTGTGAAGTTGCATTCAAAAAAATTAAAACCTACTTGGCAACTCCATCTACCAAGCCTAACCCGTGAGAGACTCTAATATTATACCTGGCAATTTGAGACAAGGCCGTAAAAGCGATACTTGTATGAGAGAGAGAGAGAGACTGGTAGCTTCTTGTGTACGTTTTGAGTCGAGCTCTCCAAGGGCTCAAATTGTGCTATAAGAAGCTGGAAAAATTAGCATTTGTCCTCCCTAGTATAGCCAGAAGATCATGTTCCTACTTTCAAGAACACCACATTGTTATTAGATCCAACCAGCCCATCAGGCTGGTGCTTCATAAGCTCAACCTGACTAGAAGGATGAACCCTCTTCGTGCTTTACCAACTCGGGGGCATAACTTATTGGATGAGATGTCGAAGCAGACCGTCCGCTAGGAGAAGCTCATCCAATGGTGTACGATCAACTCCCAACAGTTGATAACAATGCGAGATTTGTTATTTTTGTTTAATATTGTGGTTTTAGAAACTATTGATTTGGATTCAATCTAATGATGGCAAAAAAGTAGTAAGGATAGAAAGATTAAATTGATAGACAATATAACTGATCCCTTTGCTGATAGTCCAATACTCATTTTCTTTTAGATTAAATTGTTATTTAGTTCTTTGATTTTATGGAAAAATTCATCTCATGTCTCATTTGACATGACAATGTTTAAAAGCAAATTAATTATTATTATCTCATTCTTTATCCCAAAGTTTTATTTATCTCTTCTCTCATCAAAATTAATTTCCCTATAAATAATTGGAACTGTACCATGTTATGTCATGTAACATAGGATGAACAATTTCCAAGTTTATATTTTCTTACTAAGACCATATCATCAATTAATCAACCTCATTTTTTTTTGTAGACAATGGTGGCAACCTATCACCTCATAGAAACTATCCAAACCTCTCACTTGTAGATCAATTCTAGGGGCATGTTTATTTCAATTTAAAAAAGTGTGTTTGTAACTCAAATCTCCTATATAAAGTGAACAATAAGTTAATTATTTATTATTTTAAAATTTTAAATTAATTTAAATATCCCTTATCTTATATTGACAAATAGAAATACAATTATGTAACTTTTAAATTTTAATTAAAACCTCATGTGTATAATATTAAAGATATTAATTAAAGGGATAGGTTATTGTGCCTACTCCCATTTTACCTACCCTTTCGTTACCGTTCGATTACCCTCTCATCCAACGATCCATATTTGTGATATAAAATAAACTTTTTATTCCCTTTCTTTCTTCTCACTTTCTCCCATATCCTTTCTCTCTCCTCCCCTTTCTCTCTTCCTCTGCCATTTACCTATTTTTTCCCTTTATCGTTAATCTCTGCCTAGGTGAACGGCACGGAAGCATTTGAAATCATCGTCAATATACATTAATCTCTGTTTTTATTATTGTAATATAAATTTTCTCCTTCTGAATCAGTTTCTATCAAACTACCAGTGTTAATGGATTGAAAAAAATGTAAAGAGTTCACCAATGAAATATAATATAAAAGGTCATTGTTCAAAAAATGCCAAATATCATCCGACAAACAAGGACCATAATCACACATAGCTCTGAGAACTCTTTGACCATGGATGTGATGAAGTGTGATGGTTCCAGAGAATGCCAACATCGCCAATATGGATCGTGATTTACATTTGTTGTGATTTTTCAATCCATTTACGATGATTTCAAATGCTGAGGTAATTGATTTCAAATGCTTCCGTGCCATTCTCCTAGGTAGAGATTAACGATAAATGAAAAAAAAAGGTATATGGTAGAGGAAGAGAGAAAGGGGAGGAGAGAGAAAGGGTTTGGGAGAAAGTGAGAAGAAAGAAAGGGAATAAAAGGTTTATTTTATATCACAAATATGGATCGTTGGATGAGATGGTAATCGAACGGTAACGAAAGGGATAAGCAAAAGTAGGTAAAATGGGAGTAGGCACAATAACCTATCCTTTAGAGAGAAAGGGTTTGGGAGAAAGTGAGAAGAAAAAAAGGGAATAAAAGGTTTATTTTATATCACAAATATGGATCGTTGAATGAGATGATAATCGAACGGTAACGAAAGGGGTAGGCAAAAGTAGGTAAAATGAGAGTAGGCACAATAACATATCCTTTAATTTAAAGTGGAATAAATCTTTTTATATTATTTTAAGCTACGAAGGTAAAAAAAATTGAGATAGGATATTGACCAATTAGGTTTACTACCAATGTCAATATCAGTTTGTTTCACTGTTAGATCGATTATGTTAATCCAACGGTTATATTTATTTTCACCTTTGTATGATTATGATTCCTCATATTTAATATTTTATATTTATTTTCACCTTTGTATGGTTATGATTTCCCATATTAACGTTTTCATATTAAATATGAGGAATCATAACCATACAAAGGTGAAAATAAATATAACCGTTAGATTAACATAATCGATCTAACAATGAAACAAACTGATAGTGAAATTAGTAGTAGCACTAATTTAGTAGTAACAATATTCTATCTCGGGAAAGATTATACTTACTACCTATTTTTCTTACTACCAAATCTTAAACGTTGATTTTCGTCAATTTAACGATTATAATTTATTGAAAATTAATAATTAATTAATAAATATGACCCTATAAATTATAAACGTTAATCAACATTTAACCAAAAAGTTTACCCTAAAAATATTCTCCAAAATTTGTGTTTACATGGCGCCCTAATTTGAGCCGAAGCGACCCTGCAGGCGTGAGCCACATTAACTTAACGGGTATGCAAAATTGCAAATGCCATCATGGCTTCATTTGTCCGTGTAGTTCGGAACCTATTCTCCTCTTCACTTTCTTCCCATCGGTTGAAAGACTGCCATTTCGCTCCATTAACAACAAAGACCTTACAGATTGCTGCTTCGCAGTCATTGTCATTTGTTGAGTACAATTTCACCCAACAAACTAACGCCATAATCAGAAGCGTAACCCGATTGTTTTTGCCAATCTTGACGTCTGCCGCGCCTGTCGTCAAAAGCTATAAGTGCAGATACCGGAGAACGTCAATTGGGAAGGCTCAGTCTCCTATTCGTAAGGCCAATGCGACGGATAACACAGCTGTCGAGCTTGCATTGAATTCTGTTGTCAAAGTTTTCACTGTTTCCTGCAGCCCCAACTACTTACTTCCTTGGCAGAACAAGTCCCAGCGGGAAACAATGGGCTCTGGTCAGTTAATTTTACTTACCGATTTTCCGAGAATACGCACATGATTGTCTGTTTTTTTCTGCCTCAAATAAAGAAATCCTGACAACAATGATAGTTTTTTGGTAAATTTAGTGAAACATTATTCCCTCTTGCCTTAGTTTTTAAATTCGGTGCTATTTTCTTTCTCTCAAAATCTTTATGATGGTGATGCAGGGTTTGTAATTCCGGGTAGAAAGATCCTTACAAATGCTCATGTCGTAGCTGATCATTCGTTTGTACTTGTGAGGAAGCATGGCTCTCCCACCAAGTATAGAGCAGAAATCAAAGCTGTCGGTCATGAATGTGACTTAGCTGTATTAGTTGTTGAGAGCGAAGAGTTTTGGGATGGTACGAATCCCTTGGAGCTTGGAGACATTCCATTTCTGCAAGAAGCTGTTGCTGTTGTGGGATATCCTCAAGGTAGGAATATAGTGTTGATTTTTTTTATGTTACATATTTTGTGATGTATTCCTCTCTTTTTTTGGATAAAATAATTATATCATTAGGAATAAAAGAAAATCTGTGTAGCAAAAGAAGGATGAGACATCCTTATGAATAATAATAAAAGAAAATAAGCAAGCCAGAATGGCTGAGAAATACACGAAAGCTGTCCAATTTCTTTGCATGCCAAGTGATAGAAATTCCCTGGAAACAACCCAAGCAAAGCACCAAAGAGAAGCCATAAGCACAATCATGTCACTTAAGACATTTAAGGGAAAACAGAAACCCATGCACTTCTCCAATAGTCCTACCTAATGCATCATATTGTACAAATTGCATACTGCTAGAAAATTGATAGCCTCCTTTGTTGGAAGTATTCAAGTATAAGTTGTAAAGAAGTACCACATCGGCTAGACATAGATCAAGTGATGACCATATAAGTGCAAAAAGATCTATAAACCTACAGCCTTAAGGTTTTGGGTTGAGATGTGGCGTCGGCCTACTTATTGTGTTTTATCATTTGGCTCATAGGTGGATGTATCCCTTGCAAAGGGTTTTGGACTCCCCCATACCATTCTTGACATCCTTATTATGGTCTAAACGTTCAAAACGAATTATTGGAAACTCCATTGATGTCGGTCACATGAAACTGATAAGAGTAGTTATTCTAGCTTTAGAAACAATAGGAATTTATGAAGCATTGGGAATATTAGGATCTTAGATTAAAAAATACTCCTCATTAAACCCCGACTGGTGAAAGTGAGGGTGAAGGCAATCCTTGTACGCAACCTTACCGTTGCATATTTCCAAAGAGACTGTTTTTTGGATTCAAACTCGTGACTTTTTAGTCTCAAAGGAGCAGTGACTGCTCCAGACTCGTCCTCTTACCATTAGGATCTTAGGATATAGTTCATTTTTATTATTGTTCTTATAAATATAAATCGTATTTATTTTCCATGTTTATAAATATCAATATGCTGAGTGCAAAACTCTCAACCAATTCACATAAATCTCTCTTGAAATTTATTTTCAAACCAGGTAAAGTTCTTTGTTGTATAGATTTTAGGGAATGGGGAAGGCTATGGGTCTGTTTGATTGTGTTCTGGTTTTTTTGTTCTTAAAACTGTTTTGTAAAATAGTTATGGAAACAGTTGTTTTCTATATTTTCTTCTTTTTGAAAGTTAAAAACCAAAACAGAAAACAAAAACAACTTAGACATGTTCTCTAAATTTGATTTTAAAAACAAAAAAACAGTTATAGTTTTCATAACATTTTTTACAAAACAGGTGTTATCAAACGAGTTTTTTAGTTTTTTTTGTTCTGAAAACTAAAAAACTGTTTTGCAGAACAGTATTCAAACAGAGCCTATGTATCCGAGAATATGTATCTTCTCTACTGTATATACTTTATGCATATATTTCTACTATATTTGTATTGTCTTATACTTTTTGTACTTGAATCTACTTATGGTGCTAGTGCTTGGTTTGTATCTACTTCAATAGAGTCTATAGCATCTTTGTTGCTCCGGCAATTAGGTCTTTTCATTTAGTTGATCTGATAACAGGTTACTTAGTTTGTTAAATGTCTGATATGATCAGGTACAACTGATCTCATATTTATTTTATACTCCATGCCTGGACAACAAGCCTCCTATGTACTCTATAAATAGATCCTCCCATATTTAGAGTGATCTAAACTTCCATAATGACTGAATACACAGATTAGACCATACAAAGGATAAGAGGTTGCCTTCTATGATGTTTACCCTATGATTAATGTTGAGCCAAAGCTTGACTTAGGGGTTAGCAAAGAATGAGACCACTTGATCCTTTGTCCCCTTCTATAGCAACTTTGAAATAGGCTCTATCTGCCTGAATAGACTTTGTTACAATGATGGATTGCCCCAACTTAATTAATGGATTCTGGTAGTCAAGGATAAGAATGAACAGAAGATGACCTTTTTGTAGAGTGGATTTCAAAAGTTATAGTAGGATTTTGTTATTGATGTACAAAAAAACTGGAGGGTCTTTCAAGTTAGTGTTTTTGTTTTGTTTGCTTCACCTTCTTTTTTTTGGATGATTTTGGTGTTGGGGGGGGGGGGGGGGGGGGGAGAGAGCCTTGGAGTATCAGTAAGGTTGCTCCTTTATAACTGGAAGGTCACGGATTCAGGTATTTTAAATAGTCGCTTTGTAAAAATGTGAGGGTAAGGCTATGTACAGTCGACCTTCACCCCTACCCTCACAAAGTGGGGAGCCTTATGTCCCGGGATTTGTCCTTGGGGGAGGGATTCTTGGGGATTTCTTATCCTTTTTTGTACTTCTCTTCTTTCTCTTAAAAAGTTCTTTTTATCCAATTATCCTAAAAAGACCAATAAAAAACTTTCAAACAAGTGGCATTGTTGTAAAGTTATATGAGGTATGCATTCCATGGGAATCTGTGAACCCTTGTGGCAGAGGTGACTTCACATTTGATTGAATAGTTAATATAGGTTCTGTTTTGCAGGTGGTGACAACATTTCAGTTACTAAAGGGATTGTTTCAAGGGTTGAACCTACACAATATGTACACGGAGCATCACAGTTGATGGCAATACAGATCGATGCAGCCATAAATCCAGGGAATAGTGGTGGCCCTGCTATTATGGGAAATAAGGTTGCTGGAGTAGCATTCCAAAATCTTTCAGGTGCTGAGAATATTGGGTAAGTATTTAATTTTCTTAGCCTTTAGTATTCCTTAGTTCAAAACATAAGATTCATTAACCTCCTAATATACCAGTAATTTTTTATTTTCATATATATTAGTTTCGCTCTATTATTGAATCTGCAACCTTGAGGTACAGTGTTCCAATAAAATATGTCATTTCTTCCCCCTCCTCCCCCCTTTATTTGGGGCTAAATTATTCTTTGCAATGTTGTCAAAGGTGTATAACTGCCAATGGCAATAGGCCAAAAATCAGCCATAGTTTTATGATGGATGGCATGATGGCCAATGGCAGAACAAGGAAGCCATGAAAAAAAGTGAATATAAAGATCAAATAATTATATCAAGAACCATAGTTATAATAATAGGTTTTCTGGGAAAATTAGCTCATCATAAGGAGAGGAATAAATGATGGATCATGTCAGTTGAGGAGTGGAGTGGTGGAGGACCTTGAAAAAGAACAAGACCTTTGAATAGAGGAGTTTAAAAAGAACAAAAGCAGAGTAATTGCTATGACTTATAGAGCAGAGCAACCACACCAGAAGAATTTGGAAAGAAAAGAATTATGGAATTCTATTGATGAACTAAGAAACAATACAAGTGTTTGGTTTTTCCAAGGGAAATGTTTCCTTCAAAATGAAACAGCTCATTCAAAGAAAAATTACACGCTATCGTCCAAACAACAATCTAAATCTCTATTTATATGGATACACAAAATACACAATTTGCTTAACTAACTGACTATTGTTCCCTTTATATGATCCTGCTAGAATATACCCCCTGAACCTTTAGAGTTTGCTCTTTTATGTTAACACATATAACAATGCTCTCCATAACATGTGTTCTTCGTTGATATCAGGAGCTTGAGCAATCAGAGCCTCAAATTCTTTGACAAAATCATCCTCCCTTTTTCAGGGTTGAAAGATGCTCATATGCACTCTCCCTTATTTTGTCCCCAAAGCATTGGATCATTGCCTTCGTTAAAGCTTCCCAAGTAAGATTAGGAGTCTTTTTTCTTAGAAAATGAAACAAATGAACAACTTCCCCCTCCATACATACAAACACCATCTGAACCTCATATGTTGGAGGAATATCTTGTAGTTAAAAAAAAAAATTCCTCCCTTGCTATCCAACCAAGTGGGGCACTATCTTCAAAACGGTAAAGTTCTACCTTATGAGTTTAAGAATGGCCATTAGAAGACCTAGTGCTAGTGATGTGGCCATCATTGTCTCTCACAATGTTCCTATCAGTTGTGTCTTTGTCCTGCCAAACATCTCCTTCGATTTTTTGCATCCACGACTTGACCGTGGAACAAAACTCTTCAATTCCCTCAACTTTAGGATGCTATACACCTTAGAGAACCATTGGTTTCCCATTTGAACTCTTCTAATGACATCTCTAGAACCTCTAAGCTAGCTTAGGTTGAATTTGTCCCATTAATTTAAGATTGGCAGGTCGAACCATTGTTACGGCTTATAGAGTAGAAGAATGGCCTCACCAAAATAAATTTGGGAAGAAAAGAAAGAAAAGAAGTATGGAATTTTATTGATGAATAAAGAAACAATTTGAGACTGGCTTTTCCAACGGAAAGGTTTCCTTCATAATGAGACTAAGGCCATTCAAAGTAAAATTACACACCACTCTCCAAACAACAATCGATACCTCTATTTATACATATCCACAAAATACACACTTTGCCTAACTAACTAGTGGACTATTGTTCCCTCTGTGTGGTTATATTAGAATCTGCTCTGAACCTTTGTAGTTTTCTCTTTTATATAAAAACCCATAACAGTAATAAAATGGGAATTTGATAAAAACAAAATGTGTGTTGAGGGATGATGAAAAGTTACAAGAAAACAAATTTAGAGGGGGGAAAAGCAAACAACAGAACAAGGTATTGCAAAAATTGGAAAGAGATAGTGTATAAAAATTGAAGTGATTAAGTGAAAAGCAAAGAGTAATTTGTGAGACCGAGAATAAGATTATGTGCAAGATGAAACCAAATAATAATAATAATAAAAAGAGGCAGTAGAAGTTAAAAAAAAAAAAAACAGACAAAGTGAAAGCTTGGAAAATAAAGTATAAGGAGTTGTTAGTAAAATTCAGGAGGATCAGCGATAAGAAAAAGATACCAATACCGAAGGAGAGTTTCATGCAGTTCTGTGAAGATCATCTTCACTGAGTGTGAAACTTGATGGACCTGAAATCTAAAGAATAGCACAAGCCATGTGTGAGAGAGCAACTTGATGGACCTGAAACCTAATGGGCAACACAGCCCATGTTTGAGAGAGAAGAATGATGATGTGAAAGAGTGCGTGTGGTGGACCAAGGTTGAAAGACCTAATTAGCCCAAAAATTACAAGCCCAATGGTTCAAAAAGGTGAAAAAATGGAGAGGTTTCCATGAGTAACCTTACATGGTGGGATGTTGTAATGGCGGCAGGGTAAAAACCTAGCATGCCATTCTACTATGGCGTTGCCATTGACAACATTGATATCTACCAAGTTACATGATCAAGTGCACAACTGTGCCAACCAACGTGAAGCATTGTATATTATGTTTGTCTGGTCAAACATAAATTTTGCATACTTGTTTACGACTTTACGTTCTTTCATATTGGATGTTGCAGTTACATAATACCTGTACCTGTAATAAAGCATTTTATATCCGGTGTAGAAGAAAATGGAAAATATATTGGATTTTGCTCTTTGGGTTTGTCATGCCAGACTACTGAAAATGTTCACATCAGAAACCATTTTAGCATGCGACCTGACATGACTGGGGTTCTTGTAAGCAAAATTAATCCACTTTCAGATGCATACAAGGTTTTGAAGAAAGATGATATTATACTTTCATTTGACGGTGTGCCTATAGCAAATGATGGTACAGGTGTGTTCTTTCTTTTCTTTTTCTTGGAATTTTGTTTATCCATTATTTATTGTATAGAAAACCTTTGAGAAGTCTCAACTCCATACATGGTTAAGAGCTAAATGATATGGGAAGGATAAACATGGCAATATACACGTAAGTTACTTCATTTATATGGGTTTCTGTCTTTGCTTTATTTATGCTTGTGTGCATTGTAAGCATCAACTTAATAAAATAGAGGTTTAAGATTTATTTAAATTTGAGTTGAAATCTTTTTTGTTTTTGAATCTTTAAGGCTGAAGATGTTAAATGGTGAGAGCAGTTGATAGTTGATGTTTGACAGTTTTTTAGGAGAATCAAACATATAAAACATGATAGATATATGAGAGAAGTGTTTGAATCAACTCTCCCAAAAGTTTAAATTATTAGGTGGAGGCCAAATGAATGACTTTTTATTTTAAATATTACATCTCTAACACGCTCCCCATGCAAAAACTCTTTGAGATTGCGATGTGGACAATGCAAATGCCTATCTACCTTGTGTTGAAATTCAATTTTATATTAGAAGAATGAGGATGACAATAATTGAACTACAGACCACTTATAGTGTGAATCAATTACCTAAAAGTTTAAGTTGTTAGATGAATATACATGAATGGTTTTATACTTTTATATCGTTAATACACCCTCTCACATGATAGCTCGCTGAGCTTATAGCTTGGACAATGCACAGACTCACTTTTGCTGAAATTTAATTTAATTTAGAAATGTTAAGAGAATAGGAAATAAGAGACATTTAGTGAAATCCATGTGTACTACACAATGGAGATTGAATAATATAGGTGAAAACCAATAATTATTGTACAAGAGGGATTTGTGAATTATTTGAGGAAATCGTGGATAAAACCTTCTATTTATGCATGATTTACAATCTTTAATATTAAAGTTGTGAACACAACATTTCTATTCTTAGACAAGGTTTTTGGAAAGAAATAATTTTTTATTATTTTTGTGCTTCGGAAGAGTTTTCATGCAAAAAAATATGTTGGATACTTTATACCCAATGAGAGAAAGTGTATTGAATAAATAGTGTTTTTAAAAAAATAATGTCTATTTAATGTTGATAATACATTCTATGATGTCTGTATTTAATAAATAGTATGCTAAGAAATACAAGTTATTTCTTATTTCTATTAATTTGTCTTCCCGAGCTGGCAAATAGTTTATTCTTTGGAACAGAAAAATAAGCCCATTTTATCAATCGTTATTTTTAACAATTTGTGTTCTCCGGACTAGAAATTAATATATATATATATATATATATATATATATATATATATATATATATATATATATATATATATATATGAGATTATCGTTTCTCCTGTCACAAGATGTAAAGTTATCTCCTGCAACCCTAAAACTACGCAGTTTTGAGGGTTAGCTAGGAGAATTAATGAGGGGCATTCCGTTAAAATTTATATAATAAAGAAACAAAATAATTACCAAAACTCCCTTCTTAATTCCCTCAACCCTCAAAACAACGTAGTTTTGGGGTTGCAGGAGATAACTTTATCTCCTGTAACATGAGAAACAATTTTCTATATATATATATATATATATATTGGAAACGTCATGCTCACCTTAAGAAACTACAAATGCAACCAAGAGCATTGCACCCCTATTCTCTTTAGTTGTAAACTCTCAAAGCATGGCTCTAACTTCTATGATGAACCTTATCACTATTGGTCTATTATTGGGGCTCTTCAATATGCCACTATTACTAGACCCAAGATAAGCTTTACTGTTAACAAAGTCTGTCAGTTTATGGCTCAGCCTCTTATGGATCATTGGAAGACTGTGAAGCAAATTTTGTGATATCTTAAGGGCACTATTTCCTTCGGGTTGAGATTGAAATCAGCTGTCTCTAACTGCCCTTTATCCCTCACTGCCTACTGCGATGCAAATTGGGCAAGTGATCCGGATGACAGGCGTTCAACCTCAGGTGCTTACTTATTCTTAGGACCAAATCTCGTCTCATGGTTGTCCAAGAAAAAAACTTTGGTGGCTAGGTCTAGCACTAAGGCTGAGTACCGGAGCCTGGCCTTGATTTGTGTAGAGATATTGTGGCTCCAATCTCTTTTATGTGAACTATGTGTGACCGTGTCTGCACTAGTGGTTTATTGTGACAATTTGAGTATTGTGGCACTATCTCACAATCGTGTTCTTCACACTCGCACGAAACATATGGAACTTGACATTTTCTTTGCGAGAGAGGGTTTTGACTAAAGACTTGGTCGGAAGACCTCCTAAGGATAAGAGACAGAGGGCTAAAGGGAGAGCCAAAAAGGGATCTTTCGTGTATAATCGTGCATAATCTCGAATGTTATCCGTTCCGATACGTAGACTAAATGATACAATGCAAACAAAAGTTTCTAGATTCATGGAGATATAGAACAACATATAAGTTATCATGCTTGCATATCCAACGAATTAAGAAGCAAACTCAGCATCTTTGATTATGCCTTACATTCTTAAAGATCCTGAGTTTGAGGTGATGTATTAGAGTATAAGTAGAATAGAGCATTATTCTACCTTTCCTTTAGATGGTGTTACTTTGCGTCTTACTGCATGTGATTATTTTCTGGTGTTTTGTTATGGTTGGTTAGAGTTTCTGTTAGACTTAGTTAGTTGCTGACTCATCCTTAACTCAGCTCTTGGTTCTATAAATAGAACTTGTTGTACTCTCTCTTGCATCTTCTTTTCATTTCACATTAATTCAGAATTAGTTCAGACATATGCCATTTTTTCTTTGTATCATTTTCTCTCCCTTTCTACTTTCGTTTCCTTGAACTTTATTAATACTTAATCTTTCCAAATAGCATTGGTAATGTGAAGAGGTTGTAAGAGACCCATAGGTGAGGAAGCTAGATATTTGTTGCTTTGGAAAACATTGCATGTTGCTACAAACTCAAGTTATTGGGGAAGCCTTTTGAAGGTTCGAAAAACCCCTGCATGAACTCGCCCCTCCCCCCCTGTTGGGGAAGTATCAAACTCTTTTAACAGTCTAGGAATCTGATATGAACCTTGGAAGAGCCTCATTCCAAAAGCTAGTCCAAGAAGAAGGAGAGCCCAAAGTCCATATAAATCGCACATTAGTCGCCCATATAACTATTGTGGGACTCAAGTCTCATACCTTGTAATTAGATTGTCAAATTCCACCATGCTTCGCAGCCCCGGTGTCCACTCGGGCTGGCTTTGCATTGGTCTTTTACTAGCCCTGGGCGAACACTGCAATGCTAACGTCACCAGCTGCGCTGCTCGATTGCGTTTGAGAGACATAGTGGAAGGCTCTGATACCAATTGAAACGAACCTTAGGAGAGTCTCGTCCCAAAAGCTAGCCCATGAGGTAGGAGAGCCTAAAGTCCATATAAACCCTACATTAGTCACTCATATAACCAATGTGGGACTCAAGTCCAATACCTTGCAATTAGATCATAACAGAATCATTCCAAAATTAGATGACAAAACCATCCTGCCTTTGTGGCTTGCCCCCTTCTAAAGTGTAACAGGGGCAAGAATTTGGAGAATACACTTTTCATACAAAAGGTTGCCCGCCATTACGAATACAAGTTGTAACAACAATTAAGGGATCTATAAGCTTACTTGAGGAATCAAATTAAAAGGACATCAAGGTATGAATAAGAATGATTTTAGAGATATAGGTGAAGTGAGTGAAATATGACCAATGCCTTGGGTAGACAATTTCGGACCATCAACTAGGGTGACAACAAGAAAAATAAAGTGAAGAGAGAGAAGAAAAAAGTGACCAATTACTAGCGACATAGTTAGAAACACGTCAAACGATCAACTAGTATATGTATAAGTTTATTAGAGGTCCTTAGGTTAGGTTTATTCTTAACAAACTTGGCATCCTCCAACTTGAGCGAAGTGTTGGGATATTAGTTTATGTATTTTATTATTACTACTAATAGTGCTGCACATACTTAATTCTATATACTATAATGCTTAGGTACTCCTAAATGATTGTCATAAGTATAACATACTATAAGGATCCTGTACTAGGACATTTTGGGTACAAATAGGTATATATCAGATACTCACTTGATATGTAAGTGTCTGATATCACTCAAGTACAAGCAATTTCGTGAAACCCGGCCCGACCCGGAACTCGGCGAACCGATCCGATGTCAAGCATTGGACCTGCCATGCATCAGACTCGGTCAAAACCCTGCCAAACCCTATGACTCGGTCAAGTCATGTATTTTTATAAATAAATAAAATGAAATAAAAAAATCAAAAACTAAAATTGTTTCATCTTGTCAGAAAAAATGTAGAATTCATTTTAAAAATTTTTGTAATTTTATTTGCTAGTAGTATACTCTTTTACAATGACCTCAAATTTCAGCTTCCAATAGTGAAGCAATTTGCGGAATAATAAATTAAGAGACTGTGACATATGTCATTTCAATGTAAATGAATTTGAAAAATATGAGTTCACAACATCTGGCCTTTTGAATGTCATTGAGAGATATGCTTATAAGGATTCTGAGTTGCAATTTAAATTGACATAGTAATAGCGTGGATTTTAATTTATTTGTGCTTTATGAACTTGTAAAAGTGTGATTGAGTTTGAACTTATTTAGTGAATCTTGTTTAATTCATTTTAGACATGGAGAATACAAATTAAATTTATATGTTTATTTTTATATATATTTTTATATATACGGGTCAACCGGTCCGACCAGTGACCCAGTACCCTGACCGGGTCGGGTTTAATAACACTCAGTTCATGCAAAATATCAAGTTTTAAAAATTTTGTCATACCATGTACCCCAATGCAGCTTAGCTCTCTACGATCCTTTCTTTTGTAATTGTTATATCTAACCCCCTGTACTGAAACAGGTTTGTATATTTCTGTTTTTTTGTTTTTCTTGCAGTCATTGCTCATCAATAACTTTGTTAGGTACAAATGATTACAATTAAATATTGTATCACCTCAACATGTCCATGATGTATCTTGGCATGATTGAGTTTTACCAGTCAGGTTCTACAAAATTCTGTAATGGGTCCACTAATAAATTGCTTGCCATATTATATGCGGGAGGTTGGAGGATTGTTTGGAAATGCTGTACCGATGGATGAGTTTGAATTTTGACATGATTTCTCTTTATCCTATGTTGAGGATGTCCTTCCTATATGTGATGTCTTTGGAAACAAGTAAATTTAATTATTTTCTTACAAATCGTTGAGCATCACCATCAAGTAGAGAAAATTTTCTTCCTTCCTTCCCTGCACAACTTTCATGAATTGCTTTATGAAACATGCTGCAGTTCCTTTCCGAAATAGAGAACGGATAACATTTGATCACTTGGTGTCTATGAAGCAGCCTAATGAAAAAGCAATGCTCAGAGTTCTGCGGGATGGCAAAGAGCATGAACTTAGTATATTTCTCCAACCTGTAAGTTATTGTATATATTTTCTGTTTACCAAGTCAATGATTGTCCTTGTCATACACACTTGATTAAAATATAGCTTGAGTTTTGAAAGTGGAATAAATTTAGTATGATTCCCCATTTGGAGGCTAGAAAAGGCAACAACCATCAGAGTGATAGTGGGTGGAATACTTCAGTGGTTGGAATATTCTCAGTAGTTAAATAATTCATTAAAAGACTTTTTTCCAGTGTACATCAAGTTGGTTAATAATGGGGTTTAAGCTTCTGGTTCGAGTGCTCCAAGGGTGCTTTTAACAGTTTATGCTCCCTACACGGAAGAGCTTTAGTGAACATATCATCTAAACTGATCTCCTAATGAACGTATTTTGTGGTAATCAGGTCTTGTGCTCCTTCTCACAGATAATTTGACAATTAGCCTCTTGTACTTTGGTTCTCTCATGAAAAATTGGATTTACTGTTGTGAATTACTGCTTGATTATAAGTTTATAACACTATAACTCTGATGGTTGTTGCCTTTTCTCCAATTTGGGGAATTGTACTAAATTTATTCTACTTTCTAAACTAAAACTATATTTGAATCAAGTGTGAATTATTACAAGGACAATCGTTGACTTTCTGTGCTGCTCAACTTGCTATAGGATAGGATTGTGCTAATGGCCTGTCTTTGGTGTTCTGGTAATGACTGTTTTCAGGAAGTTGCCATTTTGGATAATGCAAAGGAATAAGCAGTTGTGCTACATTCTTGATTTGCATGTTCTTTGATTTTATTTTTATTTTTATTTTTTCTGTTTTGTAGGATATCTTTTCCTACTTGTGGTTGTACTTTCCACCCTTTTATTTAATATACTTTTTCTATCGAGTGGGACAAAGAAAGTACAGATGATTTCTGTCCTTGTTGATCCACAGTTAAATTTTTATTTGATGGAGGAAATGCTAAAGAGATGGTATTTTATGTTAGATTTCAATAGTGTGAAAAACTACTCATGACTTTTACCTCTAAAAACTTGTAGAACCTTGAATTTTAGTTCCAGACTCTAGTTCTTCAGTCACTATATATTTCACTGTTTTGTTATACTTATTACAATTGTTTCTGATACAAATCGGTTGTGGACAATAGTTTTGTTAAATATAATGCTGTAAATATTTCAGATCCAACCCTTAGTTCCAGTTCATCAGTTCGATAAACTTCCAAGTTATTACATTTTTGCTGGTCTGGTATTTGTCCCACTCACTCAGCCATACCTTCACGAGTATGGGGAAGACTGGTATAATACTTCACCTCGTCGGCTGTGTGAACGGGCATTGAGGGAATTGCCCAAGAAAGCAAATCAACAACTTGTGATCCTGTCTCAGGTTAGCATCTTTTTAACTCTAGTGCATATAGTACATAACTGATGTTTGCAATTCCTATCTCTGTCGTGTGCTTGCCCAACACCGATCATGCAACCAGTGACTGCCAAGACGGTGCATGGGTCCATCATCCATTGTGTCTTTCTCGATTGCTCAGGCATTTGTGTTTCTTGGTTTCTTCTAGGAGGAGTATCATCTGCTCTTGTGCTTCATTCCTTTGCTTTTCCAATAATTTTTCTTTTGTTGAGATTAAAGCATAGGGTCCGCCATTCTAAAGCTCATTGCCATGATTAACCCCACGTGAATTTTATATCCTTGGCCTGACTAAAGAACGATTGGGGTATGATGCTGTCGCAGAAAATGTCTAGCTTAGGGCCGCAAGATATTAGTTTGTTGCTATTGTGAATATATATATCTATATATACTCAAATGGATAGTACAAAACTTCCATCTCCTGATGATCTTATTTACCATGTTAAATTAATCTTAAAATTCCATTGTAATAGAAATAGTTTGGAAAAAGGAGTGAAGACATAAGGGTAGACAATAATTTAAGATAAATGATGAGTTACTATATCGTAGAGATTCATTATGAGTTTGTTTCAGCAAATGAATGCAGATATTTGGTTTGGGAGTTGGTTCTATTAATATCTTATTCGTTTTAGGTACTGATGGATGATATCAACGCTGGATATGAGCGTCTCGCAGAACTACAGGTGCCAACTTGTTTATGGTTTAGTTATTTATTCATCGAATAAATCATGTAATGGTCGTGTCGTAGTTTCTATTCACTAGAATAGTAGATGCAATGGCCAACCCTTCGTCCATCCTTACTAAAATTTGCTTTAGAAATTATTAAACATCAGTGCTATCCTTCGAAACCAAATTTTTTAGTTGATAATAGCAGTTCGAGTATGGCAGATTGTTGTCTTCTTTTTTAAAAAATAAAATAAAATAAAAATATTAGATGTAGAAAACTAACGGTCTATCACTTTAATGTTCATCAGAATTATATTTCTTTTCTTATAAAAAAGTTCTCTACACATTTTGATCCATGTTAGAACTTAATATTAATATTGTTTAGTTAAAATGGATGTTCTTTTAATGCCTATTTGCTTTAATATTTTCATTCTGTTACCCAGGTTTTGAAGGTTAATGGAATAGAAATTGACAATCTAGAACACTTATGCCAACTTGTTGAAAACTGTGGCACAGACAGCTTGCGGTTTGATTTGGACGACGATAGGGTCATTGTCTTGAACTATGGAATGGCAAAAATTGCCACTTTTAGAATTTTGAAGCGACACAGAATACCTTCGTCAATGTCCGTCGATCTTATGGGTGTTCCGAATAATTAACAATTTGGACTGACTTGCCCATGTAGAGACTGTAATGAGCCTTACCAGCGTATTACTGCGTAGTTTCTGATTGTAACAGTCTGATTGATTTTCTCTTAAAATTGTGAAGACTTTACTAGTGGATTTTTTGTATAACCATTAACCATTCTGTTTCATGAATATTTTGGTTTCTTTACTAAACTGACCCTACAAGGTTACAACTCTTGAAACGAGTGAAAGCACTCTAAATGGGGCTCTCAATGTAATTTCCAAAATACAAGATGTTTATGAATCTGAAAGTGATTATAATGGCTTTGGAAGAAGAAAAAATGATATTAACCTCCTTGTCTCCGACATTGAGATAGTGGAGCCAATTACACTTAGGAAAGCAAGGTAGAGACCATTCCGAAAAGTCCTTGAAAAAGCCAGACCAAGAATAATGACATGCAAGCCATTAAGGAAAGTTTTTAAAATAAGCAATTAAGAAGAATGCCTGCGTTGCATACCAATAGAAAATTTTGGAAAAGTCTAATAAATGAATAAGTAAATATATGTTTATCATTAATTAAATTTGAAGTGCATTGAGATCTTAGCATATTATAATTTAAAAATAAATACACTTTTACATGTTCACTTTGGAAGGAACATTTTTAGAAAATTCATCGTATACACCAAATTTCTTAGTCCTTAAAAACAAGTTCTCAAACTATCTAAGTGCAAAATGAGATTACTTGCAAAATTGATTTTGTCAAGGGAACAAAATTTAAATTGAATGTTCTCAATGCAACCATTTGTCACTTTATTGACATTCCTCACCAGTCTTATATCAAAGTAATTATTTTTCATCAACGTTACCCAGATTAACAACATTTTGGTAGGGGAAATTCAAGAATACATTCTCTTTCCTTTTTCTCATATATAGAGGTCCAAATGGATATAAAAGACAGTCCCACTCTTGTACTAAAAAAAAAAAACGCAGCCCCACACTGTTACTCAGTAGTATAATGTTATCCTCCTTGTATGAATGAAATTTATTTGCCTTCTTACGAAGTTAAAATCTACAAACCAAAATATACGTATGAAATATATTTGCCTTATTTAAATTTTTAGTAGCTTTGTCTAAATTTTAAGATTTATATTTTTTTATGTTTTCTATATTGTTATACTCTATTTTAAATTCTATTATAAAGGAACTATCAATAATTTCTCTCTACGTGAATAAAATTAATGGGATCCTCTAGGAGCAAAGCCCACTTATTTACATTATGCATAAAATTAGATTCCTATGGCCTAGGAATGTAGTTCCCAAGATAGGCTAAGCAAGGAATACTTTTACATAATACAGAGCTCAGGTACACTAAAAAGGAAAAATCTCTACTCATGAAAAATAATGATAGAAATATAATATATGTTAATGAATTGAAAAAAAGATTATTTCATTATACTATAAATCTGTCTATTAGTCTATTAGTCTATTAGACTTGAGCCATGAAAGGATATAGAAACATTAAACTTTTTAGAAAACCTTTTCAACCGTTACTTATTAGAATCAATAACTCATTGTGCATTTTCAATACTGATGGCAAAGATTGAAGAAATCGTTGATTACATCTAGGTTCCTATTAGTCAGATCAAATTATATTAAGTATCACCATATTCAGTGACAAAATCATATAGTTGAAAAAGTTATTTATTTGTGCTATCAAGTACTTACTAGACATACATTGGATTGGTATCATACAAAAACTCTTTTGTTTAATGCCTTAAGCACTAACTACAATATATATATATATATATATATATATATATATATATATATATATATATATATATATATTGGATTTTTGTTTTATCCTTTAACATAACACAACAAACTTTCCTACACTCACAACATTTTATGGAGCCAACACTTTTTAAAACAAAAAAATAAATAAAAAATTAAGACACGCAAAACGAATCTCTATAACATTACACAATCACTTTTCCTACAACATAACTCTTATAAAACCCATATATATTACATGGAACTAGTCGGAAAAATTATAATGTATACTTTCCACTCGTATAATAATCTAATGGAAAGGAATTAATCATATCTTTTTTATGAATCATGTTTCTTGTATATCTACAATGCATTAATATTTAATTTAAAATAAAAACTAAACTAATTTAGTATAAAAAATCAGATAACATAGGTAACGTTTTCTAATTATATTGGAATCTTATAATACAAGCTTTTCAAACATACTAATTCCATCTCAATTAGATATTTGAATTAAAAAGTTATTACCAAGGAAAAGTAATCATTTTACATATTTACTTGAAACAGAATATCATAATAAAAATGAATCATCTAATGTGTTATTTAACATGATCACTCATATGAGAGAATCTTAAAAATTTATAAATAAATAACGGTGATAAGAGAGGGGCGGGAAAAATAATATTGGGATAGATAGTAACAAAAAATAATTATTGATTTGTCTATAACCAATTAAGATCATTTCAAGTTACCTAGTCAAGACATAAAATGTTACATCATACATGATAGAATCCCATCTCATATCATAATAGTGAAACATAGGAAATTATACAGAGGATGCCATCTCACATAAATGTATGCCATGAAATTTCCAATAAATATCAAATTTTCATAATTGAACACAGAACTAAAGCTGGCTAATTACGATAAAAACAGCCTTTTAACCAATTTAAAAGTTTAGATGGTTCACACAACTATCCAAACACCTTTAAGATTCTAAAATCTCAAAATTATTTGCTCTTGTATCTAACAAGCAACTAGTTGATAACTGCAATGCTAAGAGGAGAGTATTGTATATCATTAGCAATGCAAGTAATACGACACTACGAAGAATACTTCGTAATACGATGTCTTGTACAAAATCAGATCATAATTGCAAGAGTTCGCATATATCTAACATATTGAAGAAATAAACCCACATGGGAATGTAAAATCACGAATCTTCTAATTTATTGAAACATCAACAATTTCAACTAAGTTCAAACAAAAACAAGCTCCCATTATATAAATCCAACTGAGCTTAATCTATTCATATTTCATATCATAAAATGGACAAGGGATAAACCCAAGATATAGTCGGGAAAGCTGCTTGCCTATTAGTACAAGTTGAGCAAGCAGGTAGCTCTCTCATGTCATTAATTTGAAAATTGCCAGACTACAAGTTGAGCAAGCAGGTAGCTCTCTCATGTCATTAATTTGAAAATTGCCAGACCATATGATGCTAACATAGAACAAATAGACATAATATTTAAAAACCACAAGATGGAACATTAAAGGTGAATTACTACCCGGATGCTTCAACTGCTATATGAAATTCTCTAACTATATAATAACAGAATAGAACCAACTGAAATGCCAATATTTGCCTCTTTCCAGTTTGCGGATATGATGCATGCAACAGACCAATATGAAAGTGCACAAAACACCTCATTTCAGTCTTCATAGTCAAATATTGCAATTAAAGGTTCAAAAGACAAATTTGACAAAGGATGTCATTGCTTTTATCAAATAAACAGACACCTACTAAAAAAATATAAGAATGATCGAGGCTAACACCTTCAAATCATCAAAGAACATTAATTTGATAAAAATAAAGGGATGGATTATCTTATAGTGTAGTCTGTACATCTTGTGTCAGGAGATGATGAAAATGTTGAAACTTGAAAGAACTGTTTAAACTAGCAGCAACAAACAAGTGTGTACACAAGTTTTGGAATGAATGCATAAGATGAATTTGTAACATTCATTAAGCCTATATCTCCTTTCAATATGGATAGCTTCCAATAATGATAGTGTATCGCCTTTCAATCCGATTCAACGGAAATATGCATAAACCATTTTAATTGCTTGAGTCTGATATTTAGATGAAATGATGATGATTTAAAAACAGAACCCAATAAACAGAATAGTCTTAATGGAACACAATATTAAATTATAAATGCTTAAGGATGTGTTCTAATGAATGATAAGGGAGGGGAATGGAAGGTTTTATGTAAACCTTGCTCGTTTAGGAGTTGTAAAAATGAACACACAGAAAATTTGAGATATTAATATGATCCTCTAAATTAAAACCATCCTTTGTTATTACCAAAATAAATAAATAAATAAATAAAAAACGTCCCTTATTCACTTTTGGGCACATTTTAAAATCATTTCCCTTCTTTTTCTCTTTTTCTTTGATTTCTTCCTTCTTCCCTTCCCACCCTACATCCAAACCAGTGGCGAAGCCATAAAGTTTTGGGGGAGGGGGCGAAGGTTTACACAACTCAGGCAGGGTAAGAATACAACGGGTCAATACATAACCAGAATTGAAAAAACTCTCCAAAGTTTTCGTTGTACATGAGAAATAATAAGAACGGAAATTGAAAGGCAGAGCTTAGGGAGGACATACTTATGCTACATTACCTTTCTCTTAAGTCTGAATAGGGAGGGTCTAAGAGGAAGGCTTATATGAGCTTAGGAGGGGGCAATCGCCAGGCCTAACCCCTCCTTATCCAAAAGCAATATGAGCTGATTTTATTTCACCCCCCTGCACGTAGTTAATGTTGTACGGGTTGCACTTACAGGCTTGACTTTAAGCTCCTAATCAAGAAGAGGATGGATTGCAATTGCAATTGCAATTGCAATATCAATATAAAGAGTTCAAAGCAACCCCTTAGGAAGAAAGACATTATCTAGAATAAGGATTATAAAAACCCTCTGACAAGGTACAACCGCAACCTAAACCATACCATTAATAATCAATAGTAAAGAAAATTCAGTTAAAATTCAGGTCAGGTGGATTATAGCAATGATAAAAATCACAACGATTTAAAGTTAATCAAGCTGGATCACATACAACATTTATCATTATTTAGTTTTATAATAATAAGGGGAGAGAGAAAAGTGTATCTGATGATTCAGAATAACTGAAGTAGTAGTAGAAGTAGACAAGACATAATAGTAGTAGGTAGCAGTGATTCAGGGGGAGAGAGAGAAAAGAATAGTGGTTAAACTAAACATACTCAAATTCATCTTCCTTGAGATGGGCGAAGAACTTGACAGGACCACGACCTTGGATGTCGGTGACAAATTGAACCTTGTAAGGAAGATTGGCTGAGATTCGCTTATCATTCCAGAGGGCGACGTACTGCTTGATCTGACCTTCCATACCGGTAAGATCAACCTCGGGAACTTTAGGGACATGGTACACCTTCAGAGGCACCTTCACCCTAATCCGTGCTCCAATATTGGCTGATGACGTGGACATCGACGACACTTCCACAGCAACCTCACACCTAACGCTTTTGGGTCTTGCGCGTACGCAATAGGAAGAAGAAGACAAAGGCATCGTCTTCGTGTGCATCGATGCACAATTGGGGGAGACGCTGACCAATGACGAAGTGTTCGTCGAAGAGGAAGAAACCAGAGCCACCTTTAGGCTCGCAGTCGCACTAGTAGCGGTGGTGCTGCTGCAGCTCATGCTTCTTTTCCTTTTCCAGCCTTTCTTTGTTTTCTTTTTCTATCCCTATTGATGGATAAGATAATGGATTTATTTATTGATTTCTGCTTCTCCGCTTAAGTCTACTCTTAACCCACCAAATGCTAATATTTGTACAAGATAATTTGGGACAGATAATAATAATAATGTTAATCTAGTTACGTTTTTGTAACCACTTCTGAGTTCTGACGAGGTGGACACGTGATTCATTCTGCAACACACCCACACTATCCATCCCTCTAAAGCCTCTAATCCAAATCTTCTCTTTCAGTAACTCCACTCTTGTATTTTGTCCTTATTCTTATTTCTTATAAATAACAGGAGATTTCCTTGGTCCGTTCACTTTTGATCTTATCCTGATTTTTATTTTTTGCTCTATCAATTGAAATTAAAGTTTTTCGCTTTTTCAAGCTTTCAATTGATAATTGTTGGGAGAAATTATTCGCTAGATATTGGACTGTAGCGTCTATATATATGGTTGAGAAACTTCTTTTACTCATATTTTTTAAGAGTAATTTTATTCATGTATTATTATAATTACATTATTTTTTATTTTTCTAGAATAATAAAATAAGAGAATCATACATACAAATACCTTTTTCTTTTTTTTTCTTGTTTTTTAATGGCCAATGGTGTTTGGTTGAGTGTTGTTCTTTTTTTTTGTTGGAAACCAGAGTGTTGTTCTTTAGTTGCGGTAAATATCTCAAACGATACATTTTTTTTTTTTTGGAAAAATATAAATATGTATTAACCCAAAATGATATACAAAATAGACGGGGCATACCTCGCTAAAAATCAAAATAAGACATATGCACACAGTGCAAGAGCCTAAGTGTAAGAACTCGCACTACTAATTAAGGTAATTAATTAGATAATTATGAGATTAATGAGATAATTTCATAATTGACCATAATAATTATGATAAGGCTTGTATAATTATAGAAAGTGAGTAATAATGTTGTAAGTCGCTTTTCTGAAGAAAAGTGCAGATACCGATTCTGTTACTCGGTATAAATGCGTACCGATGAAGTATCCCGAAAAATTGTAATAAGTGCATGATATTCCTAGAATAATACGTAGGACTGTGATTTCAAGTTTCAAGTTAAAATAATAAGAACTGGTGCCAGAACTGATACTGGCTATGGAAAAGCGCGTACCGAAAAGATGCTGTGAAGATTAATATAAAAATATGATAAATCTTGTAAAATTGAGTAGGTTCAGAATCCTAAGTTTGAGATTAAAATGCTAAGCGTAGCTATTAATGCTAATACTGTGTGATTAGTGTTAAGTGGACTATATACAATCACTTGCACACAACTCTAGGCTGATACTCATCCATTCTATGTGTGGGTTTTGTGTGTGTATCTCCTACCTCCTTCCCTTTTCACTGTTCCATTGAGTTTTCTTCACAAAATCCTTCAAGACACCATTTTTATGAGAGCTAATACACCTTGAACCTTGTAAACACTAAGTAGTTGGCTTTGAGGGTGAGTAGATAACCTTACTCTAAGTTTTTGGTCACTGGTTGGTGGGGTTTAAGGGCTGTTTTCTGAGTTTTGGTGTGAGAGGTCATCTTCTTGGCATTTTGAGCTTCATGGTGCCATTTGGATGGTGAAAGATCCAAGCTTTTGGTTTAAATTCGTGGCCTTGTGAAGTCAGAACCTTGGTGTTGTGTTGAAGGCTTCCTTTCTGTTTCATTTTCGGATTTTGGAGCTCTTGAGGTGAGCCATGATCACCTCTTTGTCATTTTGGAGTTTTAAGCTTGTTTAATCGGTTAATAAGTGAAACTTTAACCATTTGAGTAAAAGAAGGTGTTTCTGAGTTCATAACATGTTGGTGTTCATCTGTTTAGGGAGTCATTGGACTCCCAATCGCGTTTGGACCCTTAAAAATGGGATTATGAATATCACTGTTCGTATTTCTGCATTTCTGTGAAGAAGTATTCGAATACTTGTTCACTGGAAGTCGAATACTCCTTGCAGGAGTATTGGGATACTTTTCTGGGAAGAAAAGTATTCGGATACCTTTGAAGAAGTATTCGAATACAGTAAGGTTTGGTATTCGGATACTGTGGTATTCGGATACTGGTGGGTAAAGTATTCGGATACTTAGTAGTATTCGAATACTTAAATGAAAGTAATCGAATACTTTCTGGAGAGCTGGAGTATTCGAATACTACTCGTGGAGTATTCGAATACTTCCTGCAGAAACAACATGTAATGAGTTAAAATGAGTAAGAAAGACTTAATCACTTAATGGAATTTGAGCTATGATTATTGATGATTAATTATGGTATGAGCAGATTGTGATTGTGCTGTTTGTGGGCTTTGAGCTTGTGTGGACTCTTGGCATTGGATAGTAAGCTTTCGTGTCCTCGGTTTAGCCATTGTGTGGTTCCACCATACCCTATGGGGGAATGGTTTATATGCATGATGTGTTACATGCTTTGATATTTGAAATGCTGCTGAGCTTTATGTGTAATGGCTTATAATATGCATGTGTTGTTCCACTTTGACGATAAGCCTGAGTATGTAGCGTCATACAGGATGGTGAGACTGTGGTGGATGCAAGTAGCGTCTTGCACTATTTGTGGGTAATAGACGTATATAAATCCTGCATTTCTCTAGCCAGTAGAATAGTATTGACACACATGACATGATTATCTGCTGCATTGCACTGTTTTAGAAATGATATTGATAAACTGCTTTTGGAACTTATACTGCACATGTAAGTGAGCTTGGGGTGGAGATCCTTGAGGACCCCTTGTCTTACTAAGATTTCTTGTTTAGAGATCTCACCCCACGTTTGAGACGCTTATTTCAGGTTCAGGTAATTTGGGGGCTGATGCCTCTAGCGGCAGGAGTCCAGAGCTTAGCTGATTATGATATTATATGTTGACTTGTATGGATGCTGTATTTGGATGCTGTTTATGTTTTCTGCCTTTATATTATTATGTTGTTGTTGTTGAGACTTATGTTGGTCTTGTTGCCTTATTTGGGTGAGCATGGGGTTTGTCCATGCCACTTTGATGTTAGTACTTTTGAGTTGAGTTGTATAAATTATCAGGGTTGTCCGGTCTACGTGTTGTAGTTCTGTGACTAGAGACTTATATTTGTTATTTTAATTAATGAGGTATTTCAGTTAGCGGTCTTTTGCAATTTACATACAGACAATGTTTTATTAAATGATTAAGTAAGCAAGTTGGTAATGATAATGACGTCATAATTGAAAAGAAAAAGATATTTCGCATTTTTAATTAAGCGCAGCTTAATACGATGATGTGATAACATTACCGGATATATACGGGGTGTTACACTAAGCTGGTCCACTAGGAGCTTGTGCCTAGTACAAATGAGTCAAGTGTGAGTGCCTATAGACAAGAAATTTAATCTTGTTAGTTACATCCTCGATGGAAAAGGGAGAATGATCAAAAAGCAAAATATTACGGCCCAACCAGATACAATACACTGTAGTTGCAAGCACAAGGCAACAGGTCTTTCCCCAAGGTGCCAGAAAAATCCTTGGCTCGAATGAGATGATTAATGGACCCCTGAAGAGATATAAATTCGCGGGTAAAGGGGGACCAATCACGGATTGCTTTCCAGACTTAGATGGACTGTGAGCATGTGAAGAATAAGTGCGAATGGGATTCATCAACCGATTGGCATAGAGGGCAAACCGAGCCAAGATCCAAAAAGGAAGCTCTATCAAGTGTGAGAAGCTTATGTTTCACAGCCATCCAAAAAATGAATGATACCTTGGGAGGTATTGTAGCGTTCCAAACAACCTTGTGCCAATGAACTAACGGTTTTGGTTGCTTGATGTAGTTGTAGGCTCTGCTAGCAATAAGAGAATTGTTAGAAGTCCAGGAGCAAAGAACTTGAACAGCCCCTTCCATGTGATGCTCACGGTTCAAAAGTAAATCTCTAATTGAGATGATCTTCTTTAACAAGGTAGAATCCGAAGGGGAGGAGATATGCTCCCAAAGGCTACCTTCTTGAAAGTAGTGACTATGAACCCATTTGATCCAAAGAGAGTCCTTCTTGGAGTGGAGGTCCCATAAAATCCTGGCAAGCAAAGCAAGATTCCACTCTTTAAGGCTAAAGAGACCGAGGCCCCCTTCATGCTTAGGGGTGCAGATTTCAGACCATGAAACCAACGGCTTGGACTTTCCCCCATTCGATTTTCCCCACAAAAAATTCCTACACAGAGCATTGATTCGGTTGATGACTGAAAAGGGGAGGGGAAAAATACCCATCCAAAAATTGGAGATTCCCAGAATAACTGCTCGGATTAGCTCCAATTTCCCTGCATATGAAAGTGTTTTTCTGTTCCACCCTCGGGCAAGGCCAGCAATTTGAGTAATAAGCAGATCATAATGGTTCACATTTAGTCTTGAAGACAATAATGGCACTCCAAAATATCTGAAAGGGAAAGAGCCCAAATTGAACCCTGTGATGCGTTGCACTTCAGCCAGGGATTCATGATCCATACCAGCAGAATAAATATCAGACTTCTTTTCACTAATAGACAGGCCCAAGACCGAACAGAAGTGGGAAAGCTTAGCAAAAATGGTAGTAATGGAAGGCACATCACCCCTAGATAGTAACATGATATCATCCGCGAAGGCCAGATGGGAGATATTCAACATAGAGCAAGATGGGTGAAACTGAAAATTAATGTTGTCCTTAAGGCTAATCAAGTCCCTTGAGAGGTATTCAAGACAAAGGACAAAGAGATAAGGTGAGAGGGGATCACCTTGTCTCAAGCCCCTGCCCCCTTTAAAATGACCATGGATAGAACCATTCACCACTACACTGACAGAGGTGGTTGAGACACATTCCATAATCCAGCCAATGAACCTGGGAGGAAAACCAATCGAAGTAAGCATCCAATTGAGGAATTTCCAAGACGCAGAGTCATAGGCTTTGTGGAGATCAATTTTCAATAGGCACCGAGGGGAAACTCTCTTCCTGGAATACTTGCGGAGAAGCTCTTGAATAAGGAATATGTTGTCAATCATATTCCTATTCTTTAAGAAGGCAGACTGAAATGGGCCTATGACAAGCTCAAGAGCAGGAGCAATCCGGGAAGCAAGAATCTTCGAGATAAGCTTGTACAAAATGTTACAACAAGAGATAAGCCTAAAGTGCTTCACTTGGTTAGCATGATCGAACTTGGGAATTAAAGCAATGAAGGCATGGTTCACTTGCTTGAGCAATTTCCCTGAAGAGAAGAATTCATTCACTGCCTCAAAAATGTCATCACCAATTATGCTCCAAGCTTTTTTGAAAAATAGGGAGCTATAGCCATCTGGGCCTGGGGACTTGTTGTCATCCATTGAGGAGAGAACATTCCAAACATCCTGTTTCGAAATTGGGGCAAGCAAGTCTCAAAGCTTGAGCAGGGAACTTTCGGACCTGCCTCACAGATAGTAGGGGCAGGAGCATATGTCTCCTCGGATGCATGAAAAAGCTCACTGAAATGAAGAACAAAAGCATTTGCTATATCTGTATGAGAAGAAGTACTTTGCCCATTTGAAAGATTGATTGCAGCTATAAAATAGGAATGCTTAGAACGCTTGATGTAGGCATAAAATAAGCTAGTGCAGCGTTCAACTTGGATTAAATAACTATTTTTCAGAATTTGGGCAGTCTGAGCTTGCTCTGCTTTGCGAAGATGCATGATTTGATTCCTGCTTCTATCAGCTAAGCACAACAGGTCAGAATCAGAGGAATGGAGTTGAAGGGACTGAAGCACCTAGTTGTATTCAATTTCAGCTTGCTCAATTCTAGAGGACAGCCCATTAAGCTCACTGTTGGCTAGAGTCTTGATGGGACCTTTGAGAGCTTTCAATTTCTTACACATTGTCCACATTTTGCAGCCCGAGAATGAATGGCCCTAACCAGTGGTAATGACATCCGAGAATTGGGGGAGAGTAGCAATAGCATTATTAAATCTGAATGGAGTCTTGCCTCTCGTAAAATTGGAGTTAGTGTTAACAATCAAGGCAGCATGATCCGAGATGGACTCGAACCCAGTTACCTCATAGTTGCAATTCTCCAAGTTAAGGATCCAACTTTGGTTACAAAGAACTCGATCAATCATGCTCCAAGTTCTGCCATTGGTCCAGGTAAATTTTGAACCATAGGAATTAAGCTTGGAAAGGGCAAGATCCCTGCAACACTCAGCAAAATCCTGGGTTTCATATGCAGTGACATCGGACCAATGGATACGGTCTTGAGGTGAAATGATTGTTAGTATATGGATGTCCTAGAGACAATCTTTTGATTAGATTAGGACATATGTGAACCTTTTATATTGTCGCAAATAAATAAAAGCACTCTTTATCTTGTTTCATATTTTGTCTCAATATTATTGTTAATATTTTATATGAGTAACTGGATAAAGCCCTTGGAATAGAACAGGTATCTCTTGAGTATCTGTGATGAGATCACGATCATGAGGATTCAAGGATACCACACGTTTAATCCTAATTTTATGTTCCTAGTCTAGAGACACTGAGAACGTGGATCAGTGATCTCAGATAAGACTAGCACGACTTATCTACTTGTATTTGGATACACTTGAATATAAAATAATATGTTATGTATTGATCTGTGTCAGAGAGTTACAATATATAGAGACCCTAATGGGCTTAAGTGAAAGGCCCAAACCTAATCCTAATACAGTCAGAATACAGTCAGAATATTTACGGATAAGACGGAATCCAATCATATCTAATCATATCACATCTAATATTCTAACAGATACAAGATAAAGACCTCATGTGCTACAAATATGGAGATGTCTTAGCTAAAGTCGTGGGTGGACCTATAAGGGTATGGCTCGCACTGAACAGACCCACAAAGAGACTCTATGAGGAAATCTCGCAAATAGTATCATTAGAGTAGTCTCTTTATATTTAGGTATGTCTTTCCTTAGACCAGAAGTTATTACCTAGACTGTGTTCTAGAAGGCATGCTTTGATTGTATACCTCGTCTGCCTGAAACATGGAGACTCATAGGTACACTGTTGGGCTTGTCCTGAAAGAGCACATGGCTAGGGTGATAAGCTGAAGGAATTCGTCAAATCTCTGTGAGAGATTAGGTTATCTATAAACCGGAGAAATCGGGATGACATTTACTGGGACTCGAGAATCTATGCATAGTAAAAGAGATCGTGAGATGATCTGCCTTTAGAGTCAGTAAATTGAAGATTCCCTATTTCGAATAAAGCTTACCCTAAACCGCAAGGGTTGATACGTTTCCTTACCCTAAGTTTAATGGGAAGGTAACCGAGACGAAAGAAAATATATACGACAACCAAGTATGTGTAATAGGATGATCAAGTCAATAATCTAACTAGCTCTGGGGCAACAAAGCATTGCTAGTGCTCTATGTTGTCTTTAAATGGGTTGTAGGCTTATTGGGCCCAAGCCCATTTATGTCAGTGGCTATGTTGGACGTAATGGGTCACACACTAATACCTTATTGTCATGATGATCTAACATTAAAGGTATTGGGCCTAATAATGGTTGTTAGCCCAAGATGAAGTTTGGAAGCCCACCTAAAATGGAGAGGGCGCATGGTATGGTTAATGGGCTTGGATGGACCAAGACATTACTAATTAATTTAATTGGTTAAATTAATTATCAAATATTTAAATTTTGAATTTTGAATTTGAATTTTGAATTTGAAATTTGAATTTTGAATTTGAAATTTGAAATTCGTATTTTGAATTTGAAATTTGAATTTGAATTTCAATTTAGAATTTAAATGTTTGAACATTTGAATTTAAATGTTTGAATTCGAATTTGAATTGGCTATGAAAAGTTGTTTCATAACAAAAGGATAAGATGAGATCTTGTTGGAACAAATTCCTTGTATCAAGAGAAGATCTATGGAGATCTCCAAAGGCTGATTTGGGGCGTCACTTTGGTTGGAGATGAGTGTCATCTTTTTCAAACAGACAAGCTCCAATCAGATTTGGTTGTTGAGAGAATCAGTGAGCTAGTTGGTTCAAACTTGAATGCAACAGCTCAAAGTATCTGGACCCCTTTTGGGGCTGAATGGGACGCATGAATAGGATGGTCATATGATGACCATTAGTTCAGAATCTTGACTAGATAGAGACCTAGTCTCATTAGGATTCAAAGGTAGGTTGTTGGGAATTTTTAATTGCAACAACTCCACATTTTTCTCCTCTCTTGTGCGCCACTTCATTGGTTTTTCAAGTGAAAATTCTGATTTGATTTCTCTCACTCTTGTGTGCATACTAGGGGTAAGTTCTCTTTAAGGTTTTCAGAAAAGACCTAGCCAATTCTACTCCAATCCATTCCCCACTCTTGTGAAGTTTTCATGTTGAAGACTTCACTCTTCTAAACACATTTACCTAGCCTCCTTCTTCACCTATTGAGCGCATAGCAAGCCTCTTTGTGGTGGTCAATTGGTGGCTTGACAAGAAGAGTTCTTGCATCTTGACGTGGGTGGTGTGGATCAACGTTAGAGGGTTTGAACCCTTCAAACCTAACACTGATCGTCTTGGAGTTTTGAACTCACAAACAAAGGTAACATCATACTGTTATAAAGCATAGTTCTTGATTGCATGTGTGATTCCGCATAAGAAAAAAATTTGTTTTTCTCTCTCACATGCTACGGCTTTCAAGGCCATTTAACTTTCAATGATGCTGTTGAAGTCACCTAATATCAGCCAAGGGGAATCAATGGATGAAGCCAAGCTAGTCAAACTGATCCACATAGCTTTTCTTACTAAGATAGAGTGCAGCCCGTAGGTAAATGTGACAAAGAATTCCTTGCTAGTTTGCAAATACAAGAGAAATGAATGATTTGAGCTGTAGATTGTAACACAGAAAGAGAAGCTTTGTTAGCCTTCCATATCAAAACAATACGACCTGCATTATGGGACAGCAAGTTGTGAGTAAACTTCCACTCATTAAACTTCTTATACATGATATCATTGACAGAAAATAAATCCAGTTTAGTTTCCAATATAGCCATAACATCTATTCCTATGGCTAGGAGGAACTTTTGCATTGCACGATGCTTTAGAGGCATATTGAAGCCTCTAACATTCCAGGAGGATATAATCATAATATTGGAGAGGGGAGAGACTCCCCAACACCAGTAATTATAGATTTTTTGGGACCCTTCTTCGATGCCTCCAAAGGCAGTGAGCTGGTTCGGTTTTCCTTGCAAAGGACTGGTTCCTTCTCTTTATTCTTCTTAGATTTCACATCTGCTCTTGAGGAAACAGCCTCAGGAGGCTTTGATGCAGAGGGAAGGACAGCAGCGATCCTTCTTGTGGCAGGGGAGTTAAAAGGCTGAACAGCCTTCTCTGCAACATTAGCTTTGGTAGGGGAAAAAGGCACCCTATCTTTCACGGCCGCACCATTTCTAGCAAGGGAGGCACCAGCTTTAGCAATGGAAGCCTTAGCAGGTTTTTTCCCAGCCTTGAAAGGCCTACTCGTTACCTTTGAGAGATGGATATGCTGCATTAGGGATCTAAATTTTTTCCTCTTGGTTTTGGATGTAACAATTGTGAATCCATCATTGGGGGGACAAGATGGGGTGATGGACTTCTCCATAGTATCATGCCTAGATTGCTGGCCAAGGGTGGTGGCATGTACAGAGGCATGGCTTGCAGTTAGGGCCTTGTCTTGGTGGATAGCTGATGGAGAAACATTAGCTTCATCCACCTTAACAGCATAGGCAGAGTCTGTTCCTTTGGAAGCTTCGGTTGCATCAGCAGAATTATCAGAGATGGCACTTCCTTTTGGAGCATAAGTGCAAGAAGCAACTTCATGGCCAATGGTCTTGCAGTAATTACAGAAAGTGGGTTCGTTTTCATATTCAACAGCTTGGTTGATCAAACTGCCATCAGGTAATTGAATGACAACCATCTGAGTTAGAGCTTTTGCTGCATCCACTTCCACAAGGGCTCGAGCAAAAGAGATGGAGCCCCTTGTAGCAGTTAAATGGTCAGTTCTCAATGGTTTACCCACCTTGGAAAGGATCTTACCAAGAGCTTTTTTGCTCCAAAGCTCAAGAGGCAGATTTCTGAGTCTAATCCACACTGGAATTTTGCTTAGTTCTTCTTCACCAAAATGAAAATAAGGAGGCATGATCTTCAGTAGCAGGGGGCTTTTAAAAACGAAATAGGGGCTAGCTTGAAGAATTTATGCATGTCTTCTTCTGAAGTAAACTTGAATATAAGCCAGCCACTCGAATGGGGGGAGTATGCAAACTTTACACCCCATTTCCTACATACATTTAGAAGAGCTTTTAGCCCAGGAAATTTCCCAGCAATGTATCCAATGAGGCAAAAGCCTATTGTTTCCTCAAGAGATTGAACATTTCCATATTCCACGATAGCCATTTCATCAGTTGGGGAAGGATTGCACTCATTGTTCCAGTTATGGCCTTTGTTCTCCCCTCGGTTCTCCTTGAATAGGTTTGCCCATGGTGTTGCTAGTTATTGCAGCTGGGGCTTGGAGACCACAGCTTCATCAGAAGTTTCTTCAACCTCTTCGTTTATGGAGTCCTCAGCTCCAAGAGTGACTGAGGTGGCTTTTGGTTCCGATGATTCCTCAGGCTGGGAGTTGAGAGCAGCATCGAGGTCGTTCATTTGAGCCAAGGTTTCTTCAGAATCTGAGGCTTCTTCCATCTCAGGAATATCTTCGAGCACCTGGTGTGCACTAGGCTTAGGAACCGAGGAGCTAGCTGATTGGTTTACTAGGCTATTCTCCAAATCAGCAAAGAAGTCAGATAGGGCATGTTCACCTTCATTAGTCTTTTTCCTTCTATTCCTCCCCATTTCAGGGGGAAGAACTCGAAAGGAGAACTAGTGCAGTCCTAAGGAACCCAAACCGGTTGAAGATAAATAGGAATCCAAAGCTTCTTCGTGGCTTCAAGGAAACTGCTCCACCGAACAGCACAATGTCACCACCAAAGAGACACAAGCTGGACGTGGCTTCTTAGAGGGTGGCTGAACGTGGCTTCTCCAAGAGGAACTGGGTGAAGAAACACAAGCTGGACGTGGCTGCTTCAAGAAGTAAATAGGACCGAACAACACAATGTCACCACCAAGAGACACTAAGATGGACGTGGCATCTTAGTGGGTAGACAACGTGACTGTTAGCTGAAGCTGGAAGTGGACCTCAAAGCCACCACTTGGCAGCAAAGACACGCGGCTGAAGCTCTTCCTCTCAGTAGCAAGTAACGCACGAAGAAGAAGTGGAGGGGCCCACCCACGATGGCCAAGCAAGCCACAGGGTATCTCCCTATGGTGGGTGAAGCCTCCACGGCTTGTGCTAGGGCAGACTTGTCCTCCTTTGGTTCAGAGAAAAAACCTAGAGAGAAATCTAACTGAGAGTTCAAACGATACATCTTTAGTTGCGTGCTTTTCCAGCCGCCAGATCCTTGTGTTGGCACATCCTTATGGACCTGTTAAAGTTCAAAACGTGTTCTTGAATTGTTTTCTTCTGTTTGACTATATTTATTTGTAACAAAGTTTAGTAAGTAAAACTTAAAGGAGAAAGTTAAAAATTTCTCTATATTAACAATATTATTAAACTGAGCTTGAAGTAACTTCTTATATTTATATTATATTAACATTTTATCAAAATTGTTAGTATGAATAGATAACTGTTAATATTTTGCATTGCATCATTATGACATCACACAATTATTCACAGTATTATTTCTCTTTTCACTTTTTATCCGATCCCAATAATTTCAATACCTACAAACAAAAATGATTTTTCACATTTTTTCCTGAATTTTTGGTGGACTCTTTTTTGGTAAATTTGCAATAGCCTCCAAGGTAAATCCCAATTTTTTACTCAAAAATAGAAATTTTCAATTCTCTCTTATGTTGCATGAATTAAGGGGGAGGGGAGGGGGGAACATAAACAAAAAAAACAGGTGATCCATGGAGAAAACTCACTTGACCTTAGTTTCATTGACCGCTTTTATCTTCTATCTTAATATAAAAAATATTAAAAAAAACAATGTACTTATTTAGTGTTACACTATAAGTACATAGGAGAAATTAATTTATCAAGTCTCATTTTAACAGCCCGATTCTGTTGATCACTAGCCCTTGCACTCGATCACTGATTCAAGCCCTGAGAAGATCTCAATGAACAATTTAAATGACTCACTTTTCTTCTTCGTTTAACGAACATTATAATGAAAGCATTATAATTAAAAATGTTATTAAAACTAATCAAGATGTTATGCAGCCCTAACAGACTTCAAACGTTGATTTGTTATAAAAAAATTTATAGATAATTGAAATATTCTCACGTCAAAACAAGATTTAAAAAAAAATCTCCGTCGTCATAAGAGTTCAAGTGGTTAAAGCTAGCATAGTTATGGCACGTGGTTGAAAAGAAATGACTTGGCATGAGCAAACCAAGTGGTGCTTCTAGCATTTGTAGGATATCCTGTTTTCTTTCTCATCATCTTACCAATTTTTATCTAGAGGTGCGCGTGGTATTTTATACAATATGTTAAAAGGTCAAGTGGAATACCCAAAAGCATTATTATCTACCCGTTTTGATTCTCACAGCCTACCTACTTAAGGAGAGAGAGAGAGAGAGAGAGAGAGAGAGAGAGAGAGAGAGAGGGCTTTTGCTGACTTCCCCTTAATTGCTCTACAAGGTTGTCACCACGCTTTTTTAAAGTTTTATTACTTTACCTACCTCGTCAACCATCGGTTGGTGCTGGATAGTTTGCTTTTTCCAATGGTTCTTCAATTGAAGGGTTCTTTAACTCTAGCTTGCATTGTTCTAACAATGATTATAAGTGGTGAGATTTAGTATAAATCTCCAATGTAGACCAAACAACATCTCAACTTTCAACCCATGTTGTGTAAATGGATATGAGACTAAGCACGAGCAGATAATCAGATATTGAGAAACAGGATCACAATCTAGGGTTTCAGAATAAGAGAATCAATTGACCAATTCGGGGAAATGAAGATCTGCAATACATTCAGCGGCTTGTTGCAGGAAATGCACAAATATGCGTTTTTTTTTTTTTTCATTTTATGAAAACAAACTAAAAATGACAGATAAGCAAGCAACAACGGATACATATAACCGGAACAAGAGATTTACAAAGCTCAGCTGTTACAGCAATAAGGAATTTGACAAGACAAATTGGGTATCTGGATTCATATAGACGAGAAGGTACATGAGCTTCCCAGAACCCATCAAAGAATTGAAAAGAACTCACAGTTATCATATATGAGAGCGACCAATAAGCCTGCACTGTTCCGGAAGCAAAGAAGAAATTACTTGTCCACTGAGTGGGAAAAGCTCACCATCAATACCGCATCCGTTGTGAGTGTGCTTACCAGGCTTTATCCTTACAGACTTTACCTGCATCCAAATGGACGTTGCATTTATACAACTTGAACAGGTACAGATGCACAAGTTACCAGGATATAAAAGAATGCGTAGCTTCTGCAAACTAAATAACATTGCCAGATACGCCAACCAAGCTATCACTCACAAACAAACTCAACTACACATAATACACAGTTTAAAACTAATCACAATTTTCAATTGTAGTCTTCGAAAAGGAAGGCAAAATATAGGAAAATAGTAACTATCATTTAAAGTTGGTTTTACCAGTGTAGTCATCACACACAGTATAGTGCAAAAATGTAATAATGAATGCAGTGTGAAATAATTAAGCAGTAATTTTCAACAGAGTTTGGTTAATAAATGGAGTAAAACAACTATAAATGCAAATACCTTGACATATTCAACATATGGCAGTGACAGGTGTCGACCCATTTGTAGAAGTAAGAAAAATCTCATCAGCCTCAATCTTCCACTCCCATGAACCAAAAGCATATCTAGTGTGTTATCATCGTATTCAGCTTTGGGAGCAACCACCTGAGAGCTCTGAACAGTTCTGCATGCATGGTTGCAAACCAGAATGCCAAGAAACTGTCCCTTAGAAACAACCCATTTGTCTCCAAAACGAGGCACAACCTCCTTTGCGGACCCTATTTCTGTCTCATCTGATGGCCCCGGTAACTCAATTGGGTTTTCCACATCCCAATTAGGCTCAGCGTCCCACTTTGGTTCAGCATCCCAAATAGGACCTGGATCAGACAGTGTTGATGATATATCCTCTCTATCATTTGTAGCAGTACTTCCCCATCTAGAGGTATCTTGGGTGGTGGTCAATCCAGTCCATCCTTTATCATTCCTTGACTTAGATCTGGTTCTTGGCCAGTTTGGAGTTGTTGATAGAGGCAGCTGCGGATGGATGACTTCTGGCTCTGCTGTTACATTGCCCCTTCCAGATGATAAGCGTTTTGACTTTGGATCTAAGCCACGCACCAATTCAGAAGGTTCAGTGCTAGCATGAGTACTACTACAGGTATCCAGGTCTCCACCAGATATACGACTTGGAGTCATTATTGAGTCAATACTTGAAAGACTAGAAGCTCTAGGCATTCCATCCTTATTCGATCTGCTCATGATGTCAGTATACAGATCTGACATGTCAACTACTTCCTTTTCACCAGAAAGCTTTCCCTCCCGCTCTGTTTTTGATGCCGGAAGATATTCAACTTCATAGCTGTACCGTGGTAAGCATAAGAACTTGAGGAATCCAGCAACAAAATACCGCAGTGGGCCAAAGCGCTTCTGATATTTTTCAGAAAGTTCCAACACTGCAAGGTGAAAAATACATAAACAATAAATGCCCATTCGAGAGTGGATCTTAATAATTATGTCACTGCATTGATCAATTGCTAAATAAAGGTTCCATTTTCCCCTAGCTTTTTCTTTTCCTTTCCATTCTTATTTTTTTCCTCCTTTGTTTCAGTTATCAAGTGCCCGTTGTTAAATTATCATTAAGGTTGCAAACTTCCAAATGAATATCAGTCAAGATAATAATAGAAAATCTACATAGATAGCCACCTGGAATGCAGCATTTCAACTCCTCTAAAAAGTTGGATTTTAGCACAAGGTAGAGCGGTGGATCTGTACACTAACTATGCTTCAAGCCCAAAGGGCTCTTGTCTAATGGGCCGTCTCAGAAATAAATATCATTGCTTCACCTAATAGCTTAAACTTTTGGAATGGTTGGTTCCTGACACTAGTCATTTCAACCTTAAGGCTAATTACAGCCAAAATTCTTAAGGCGGACAGATCCTGCAAAAGATGTACCTAAGAGCTACAACACAGTTGCTCAAGAAATGTGGCAACAAGCAGCAAAGGACCCAACAAAATAACTAAAAACCAAGTAGTCTCCCCTTTTAATCCTAAAACTTCTACCCTCGGTAATAAGAGATGGATTGTCAATCAATAATAATACAAATGTGGATGAAGAATTATATACATGGCATTGACTTACCATCACTAACAAAACCATAATATGAGACTGTTAATCCAAAGTGAATTTTATTGGTCTGAATCCATTCGACTGCAAAGACATCTGTAGCAGTAAGGCCCCCCTGAACCAAGAAATGGAATGAGTACATCAACAAAAACTGCAAGAGTTTACAGAGTATTGAACAAGACAGAGATATTAAGAAATCTACATAATTGCTGACATGGAAAATAGAACTGACATTTAAACCAAAAAAATGTACACCTATTAATAGCAAACAATGAGATATAACTGACCAAAGAGAGCAAATTTTTCTTCCCAGAGCTATAAGTATACTCCTAATAAAAGTAAATATCTAGCTGAACTTTAATCACCCCAGACCCTGATGAGCTTGTAGCAAAATTCGTCGGATATTCTTTAATACAAGTTGTTCTGCCAATAAGGCTATTATTTGCATTCTGTGGCAAAAGGACGTTTATTAAAACGATACTAGAAGAAGGACGTTACCCCCTCAACTAAACAAAAGAATGATGTCCATTTCAAGGGCACTAGGAGTTACATAGCATGTCCCACTTCCAGTACTTACGACTGCTTTCCTATCTGTCTATGACTAGAATATCATTCTATAAGCTGATGATTCTAAAATGGATCAATCTAAAAAGAGAAACAGCAGCACATCATTAAAAAATATTAAAGACTGACTGAAAGAACAGAACTTTCATAATGAATGAATAATTTTATCAGAAAAAGACAAATAGTGAGTTAAGTAGGAAGAATATCAATATACAAAGAATATGGCTAAAGTCCAGAACATGGATATAAATTTTAAAGTTATTGATGTCTATTCTTAACTACAAAAGTTGAATTAATCACCTGCCCATCAATTATTTGAGAGGAGGAAAATGAAAGAATGCTACCTTTACAATAGCCATTGCTGCAGACACTGGATCTCTAACTCCAAGAACAGTCCATACCAATGAGTTATCAGAACCAGCTGGTATAATTCCAATAGGTATAGATATTCCTTCCTTTTGATTGTCTCTACTAAGGAGACCGTTAAGAACCTACAAATCAACCATGTCATATAACTTGCCTATTACTGATAACGTGAGTACATTTGTGTGTGTTCAAAGTATGAAAGAGCAGTACTCCTACAAAAAGCACGACCTTATTGTATCCTTGATCAAAAAATAATAATGGGGTATGAAATACACCATATTTCTTGTGGTAATTCACAGCATCTCAATGTTCGAAACAATTTATATATTTTATGAGTAAAAAATGAGATTCTTGTGAAAGGAACAATTCTTAATCTATAGTGAAGGTGTACACAATGGTGATAGATATCCAATATTTCTTGATGATACAGACTCAGGCAAGGAGATCCTTCATTTCCTTTCATGATGACTCTAGTAGATATTCTCAATTGGATGGCTGTTGATAGGTTATGGTCTCTCACCTCCAGTTTGCAAATGATACTATCCTCTTTTCAAAGGAGGAAAGCAAATCTTTAGTTAATGTTTTCTCTATTCTCAAGTTCTTTGAGGCAATCTCTGATTTGAAAATCAGTGTGGCTAAGAGTAGTTTGGCAGGTCTAAGCTCTGAACGTGGATAAACAGATTCCTTCTCCTTACGTTTTTGACAGTTTTCAAGTCTTCTAGTGGCCCCTTAACTATTTGGGTGCTAATCCACATTCCAAGTTCTTTGGAATTGGGTGATGACTTTCATAAAATACTGAGGTTATATGGGTGGGAAATATTCCTATCTTCAAGGCTCTTCTCATCTTTGTTATCTATCAACTACCCACATCTCTCCCATACAACAAACAAGCTTTATCCCATCAGGTGGAGTTGGCTACATGAACGGAAAATCACCATTAAGACCAAATTTTCAATAAATCCATTTAGAGCAAGGACTTCTTTAATGATTTCTCTTAAAGCTTTCTTCAGCTTTCCTCTGTCTCTTTTAATTGGACTAAATGTTATTTGATTCACTTTTCTCACTGTAGCCTTTGTTGATGTTCTCCTCAAATGACCAGATCACCCTAGGCGAATTTTTGTCATCTTCTCCTCAATAGACCCTTATCTATACCATAAAAAGCTTTTATTCTATTCAGGATCCTGTCATTTCTTGGGATCTTCACTCTGGCAACAAACTAAAATCACTTCTAGTCTTAATTGAGTAGACTCACCTCTCCTCAAATCCAGATAGGAGAATGCAGAATTTGGGTTTTTCCAAAATGAACATTTGTAACTCCTTTTTCCAATTTCAAACTCATTCACAGCCAAATTTGGAGTTTGCTTTCATTTTAACAAACCCCAAGGTAATAAACGGAATGCAATTTACTCATTCAAAAAAAACCTTAGGATCTGTGTTTAATACTACTACGCATAAATACTAGTTACTCTTCTCTTAATGGTTGGAGACTGGAGAGAAAATAATGAAACAAGAAACAATAATCCAATAAAAACCTAATATGAAACCTTAAGACAGAACTTCTAGAACTGTTTGTGAGTAACTTATGCTATTGAACTAATTTAGAATATTAATTCTACTTTGGTACCCTTGAATAGCAAGCCTCCAATCACTAAAATATATGTGAGAAAGAGGAATATGGGCTGTGTTGAATCAAAGGCCCAAATGGGAAAGGGACAAAATGTAACCACTGCTTACTAACTGCCACCTTGGCAGAGTAGGGGGGGGGGGGGGGGGGGGGTGAAATTCTGCAAGATATAGATATAAGAGAAGAGAGAGAGAGAGGGTAACAAAGAATCATCAGTGGGAGAGAGAACCAGGCTCTTTAAATTCCAGGATTATCATTGTGTTTTCTTTCCATTATCTGTTAGTTTTCATATTTGTATACACATACTACACCCTACTGATCTGACATCAGTTCAGGAAAGGAGATACTATATCAGTTGCAGTGTTGTGTGTGATTCTGATCCAGTTCCTATAAAAAAAATACAAAAAATTAATAATTCCACTTGCACATTTAATATGACGACTAAAGCAATGAGTGAACGACAAAGAAATCAAGATTTTTCTCAGTCCTAGATAGCTTATGGTTCAGCCACCGACAACACTAGAAGACAGTATTTTCATCTAGCAAACCAGTACAGAGAAAATGTCACTGAATCATTAAAACAGCATGCTGATTGCTGACCTCATTGATTATCCCATCACCACCAACACATATAATTCCTGAAAGAAACACCAATTTCAAGAATAGACAAGAGGTGTACATGTGAGAAAACATTAAAGAAGTAATAAACAAATCTATAATCAACACATGTTCAGATTATAGAACAATGATTTTACCATCAGGGCAAGTGCTGATGTCTACACTTGATGCAAGATTTCTAGCATGACCAGCAGATTTCGTTTTGACTACCTCCAATCTAAACCCAGCAAGCTGTCACAGTACATGCCTCACATAAGTAAAAGAGTCTACATGCTGCTGTACTCTATCCTGCCTATTACATGTTTTATACACATATAAAATAATGCTGACCGAATAATAGTATATGCTGACAGAACAATGAAAAACTAAACATAATATAGATATTACTATAATTATCAGTCTTGCAGGAAGTTCTACTTTTTACACATTTCTAACTTTATTTCCAAAATAGATGTGTTCATATATGAATACAATCACAATGATGAGCATAACAGAAGCATAAGCAGCTTATACAATCCAGGGCAGATAGTGTAACATACCCTAAATATTGGTTCCACAATGCCATGGAAAACTTTACTTGAACGACCTCGACCTGAGCGTGGGTTTAAAATTACAAGCATCTTAGGCGGAGTCTTACATCTAAAGAGCAATTCAGGAGGGGTATCAGTCTGAAGTAATTCTGAGGAAGCTTGCTTCTTCGAAGACACTAAAGGGTGGGGAAGACAATTCACAAAACATTGTTGATCTGCAAATCCTCCAACCCAATGAAGTGCCTCTTCTACACTAGAAGCTACAAAGCGAAAGTCCTTGCGACTTCTTCGAGATTTTATAAAACAAGAAAGACCGCATGAAGCCTTTTTCAATGGGTAAGAGTGCACTGTAAAATGTCTGAGACCAACATTATAAGAAACCTGTTTAGAACATGGACTAAAACTAATTAGTCATCATATTTCATGATTTCTTTCATTTCCCTAGCATCTAAAAAGAGTTTCTCACAAAAGAATTCAACCATCCATATGAGATAGAAGCAACGTATTACCGAGATAACATCATCAAGGTGCAGCAATTGGGATCCCCAAACTAAAGCCTTGCTTGTTAGTTTGGCATCTACAGCTTCTTGGTTGGTAATATCAAAAGAGGCTTGTTGAGCATCACTGTTGTTATTTATAGCAATCCGTCTCTTATCCAAAACCAGTTTCCCAGAGAATACCACATATCCTAACAAATCAGACTTCTCATCTCCTCCACCACCTCCTCCTATGTCAATCCTATGCTCAAAATTCTTGGTTGCGTCCTGATCATCCGGACGATTGGTATTGGGGGCACTGACCTCACTGCTCTTCCTTGAAGCCTTCACTCTGCCACGTTTTTCGGGGAACACAATAGGGGACGAGTGCTCCCCCGTTGCTAGCTGGGAACACAACCCCAAGCGTCTTAGAGATTGTTGAGGTGAAGACAGTCTTAGGGCTGATGTCTTATTGTTAGTATTACTGTTGTTGTTATTACTACCAGTAGAATGTCGTGAAAGACTCCCACTCTTGTGCATATCTCTCATACTACCATCAATCTTACAAACACGCAAGGGATAAATGACATGCGCAAGCGCATGACGCAAGGGCTGAGCCACCTTCTGTACAGTGAAGGGCAAGTTTCCCCTCACTTTTATAGACGATTAAGGTGGAAGATTGGATATTAGGGTTTGGATATTTTTAATTCAACTCACTCTACAGCTCAGATCGCAAATGAGTGATTGGATCTATAACCAATCAAATTGCTATCAGCTTTTTTAGAGAAAATTGTGATTTGGCATCCTATCAGGATCAGCTCTCTTTTTCTCTTTTTCTAAGTTTGATATTCCGTTAGACGATATGAAAGAAAGAAATCTACGACAATAGATTGGAGCTGTAATTTGAAAAGAAAAAAGAAAAAAAGGACGAAGGTGCCACGAAGAGGAGAACAGAGATAGGGTTGTAAACCAAACCAGTGATCGGGTGGGTCAAGAACAGAGCAGAGCACAGGATTCCGAAGCTCTTCGCTTCGTCGGTGACAAGACAACAGCTGAAAGACCTTTCTCAAAAGTTTCTCCCACCTTCAACAGTGATGGACGCTCAGGATCCCCCAACCTCAACGGACTCACCACTTTCCTTTGCCGTCATTGCGGTGTGTGGTGAGTTGTGACAACAAAATATTCTTTTTCTTTTTATTTACTTTTTTAAATAGTTAACTTAACTACTCACAAGTCACACCCAAACAAACACAACACCTGCCACTGTACCAGCTCAAACCCAATAGTGGTGATAATATATTAATCAAAGTCCATTCATATGAAATGAATCAAAAAGGCTTCGGTGGAATCAATCTTCAATTGTAGACTTTTCTTTTCATGTGTCACATTATATTAGTACTTTAATAATATTAATATTAGTTTAATATTATTCAAAAAAAAATAGAGTATCCAAAAAATTATAATTTGAATATTAACTTACTACTAATAAATGAAGGCTTTAAAATTTGTACAATGAATGTAAATAAATTATCTTTATTAACTCTCAAAACGATATTATTTTCACTTGAAAAATTAAAAAATTATAATGATAAAAAAATTTATAATTCTAAAATAAATTAAAATTATAAAAACACCTTAGTTTTTGAGTCAAAACGACGTTATTTCTAACTATGCAGGTAACTTATCTGTATTTACTGCAGAAAAACCGAACTTATAAATGAAATACTAATATGATATGAGTACTTTAATAATAACATAAATATATGTTAAAGAATGCCAATATATATATATATATATATAGGGATAGGATCCGTTTACAAATTTTTTTTTTGCAAATTACACTAAGTACGACCGGTCGTACATTACATGATTAAAGTATGACCGGTCGTACTTAGTGTAGTTTGTAAGAGTTTGTAAACAAAAAAGTTTGTAAATATAATCTGTCACGTATATATATATAGGAGTTTATATTTCTGCAGCTGTTGTACGTGCAGCAATCAAATATTGGCCATATATATTTGAAAGCATTAAATGCAGGGAATCATAACCATACAAATGATGAAAGCATTAAATGTAGAGAATTATAATCATACATATGTCGTTGTTGTACGTAAAGCGACTGCAGAATTGATTTTATATTTATATAATATTTACATTGTCAAGCCATTATGATTAGTCTATTGGTAAGGTATTTGAGTAACTTGTATTAGGTTGTGCATTCAATTCCTACATATGTATTAAAAAAAATATTTACATTGTCATATGAATACCTGGAAAGAAATCTAACGGGATCTTGTGAACATATAATATTTTCATTAAATTTAAAAAATTTATCTAAACTTACAGTAGAGAAAAAAAAAAGTGTGAGAGAGAGAGGGAAAATATAATTTAAAGTGATAAACAAAATTTATATAGAAAAGAATTACAATCACGAATAACATATGATACATATCAACCTCATGAAATAAAATTAGTTTGTACTAGAATTTTGAGCCCATGCCACGATTTGGTCGATTCCACCAAATCCCATAAGTAATCACCTTGATTTCCTAATGTTATGAAATAAAGGATAGAATCCATGATATCCTTAAAAATAAATTGACACTTATAAGTACCACTGCAATTTGAGCATTTTAAACTGTTTTTTCAATTATATCCCTGCACTCTACTAATATTAATGCATTAGAATCACCATCAATCTAATTACCAAAAAAATAAAAATAAAAATCACCATCAATATCATTGCCTAAGGTTAGGTGCCTCCAAAACCCAAACTTTGGACAAAATAAAAAAACATATATCTCATGTTCTATTTGTTATTTATAATAAATGTGACTAAAATAATTAATTTAAAAAGCAAATATACATAATAGATGTAGAATTGATAGATAAAATAAATGTTATATCATTAATGGCTGATATTACATGGGTTTTTTTTTTTTTTTTTTGGTAAGTTACATGGTGCTATTTCAATCACACAACGCCATTATATTTTGATAACTTAATTTGATATACATGTTAAAAATATCTACAAGAAAGAAGAGTTACAAATCAATTGAAAATATGAACTATAATCAATACGCATAAACAAAATAATATAATAAAAAATTGATTTTTTGTTTAGAAGTTAATAATTAAATTTGCAAAATCAAGAAATATCTATAAATTTTCAAATATATGTATTTAGAAGGAAAGTTCTTTTAGTCAGTCATAATTTGCATGTCGGACTAGTCAGCGTGTCGAAAATATTGACTATGTGTCGGATCATGTCAAGTGTCTGACGCTAACTCTTCAAGTTTTTTAAAGTGTATGTGTTTCATACATAATCTATATATAAAAAGGAAAATGGTTATTTGGCAAGTTTACCGACGTGTCGCTCTCTCCTTCAATATTAATTTTGTGTTCACACTTGAAACCACTTTAGATGCTTTCCTTCTTTAGTAACTTTTTAAATTCAAAATTTAAACTTCATATAGGTGGCAAAAGAGTTCAGCATTAATTGGTGGCAAACATTTGTATTAATATCTCACTACTTTTTTAAATTTCAAATTTTAAACTTTATATAGGTGGGAAAGAGTTCAAAATTATTTGATGGCAAACATCTGTATTAATATCTCACTATTTCTTGTATAGGTAATTGTTAAGCCTCTTAATAATACACACTCTTTTTTGCATAAGAAATTGTTAAGCCTATTAATAATGATGCCGAGAGCGCATAGAAAAGTGATTAAACAGAAAGTTGGGATTTCACAAAAGAGTAACCCTCCGGTTCTCAATTTCTATTTCTCAAATAACAAAATTCAACTCCTAGAATAAGGGTCATAAGCACCCTTTTATAGACTAATTACAAATTGATTCAAAATTCTAAATCTAAAATTCTAAAAATAATAAAACTTCCTAAAATAAAATAACAGTAATTAACATCTAAAAATAAATAAAAAATTACAAATAAATAATTCAAAATACATCCCAAATCTTTAATCTCAAATCACACCAACTATGTTGCTTTCCTTTTTTTCCCAAACAAATCACAATCACATCTGTTGCTTTACTAGGACTTGGATTCGATTGTAATTTGTTATATTTCAAATCATTGCCTCTTTTTCAACAATTGGGCCATATTTATTAGGCCACAACTCTAGTTGACTACGAGCTTCTTCAATCAATGGTTGGGCCATGTACAATGGGCCAACTGTAAGTGCATCAAATAAATTTATTATTATGTCTATAAGTTCAAATAGTCTCCTTAGTTTGTGTATAAATAGGATGTGTTAGTGCATGCTTTCCATTGATAATTAGTTTTTGTGTACATATTTCTTCTGTTTGTGTCTATTTATCTTCTTCATCTTCTCAAGTTGTTCTTTGGCATAATCTTACTCATTATTGATGCATTTATAGTTTTTTACTTTATGTTTGTTGATCTTTCATGTTCATTGTTCTATACTTTATTGGGTGAATTGCTTATATTATTTCTATATTTTATATTATTAATATAGTATATACGGACACTTGAACACTTTTTTTGAATTAGTTTTGATGTTGAAGTCAGAGATACCTTGTGAACAAAGGAAATCTGTGACAGATGAATATATTGTGCTGTGAAAAGTCCATATTATGAATCGGTGGCGACATTGATAGTTGATAGGAATATAGGATAACAAAATTTTCCCTTCTGCTTCAGTTTTGTGTTTTGCTTCTTCTCAAATAACATAATTAAAATATTCTAATGATTAATTTTTAACGAAAAAATAAAGAAAAACATACATCCACTAATTTTTTTTAACTATTTATCATCAAACTTCAAAGGATACAAAATTTCGTATAATATTTGAGATGAAATAATCTATTTCTTTATATTTCCTTTTGACTCTTCTTTTTATTAAGAATCTATATATAAAAAGGAATGTCATTCTTTAGCAAGTTTGTTGACACGATGCTCTCTTCTTCAATATTCACTTTGTGTTCACACTTGAAACCATTTAAAATCTTTACTCCTTTAGTAAATTTTTAAATTCGAAATTTAAACTTCATATAGGTGAAAAAATAGTTCAATATTAATTGGTGACAAACATCTTATTGATATCCCACTAATTTTTTTAAAATTCTAATTTTAAGCTTGATATAGGTGGGAAAGAGTTCAAAATTATTAGGTGACAAACATTTGTATTAATATCCCACTGATTTTTTAAATTTTGAAATTTAAACTTTATATTGGTAGGAAAAAAGTTCAACATTTTTTTATGGCAGACAACTATATTAATATCCCACTACTTTTTTAAAATTCGAATTTTAAACTTGATATAGGTAGAAAAATAGTTCAACATTTTTAGTGGCAAACAGTTGTATTAATATCTGACTACTTTCTGCATGGGTAATTGTAAACCCTATTAATGTTGCATAAAAAAATTATTTTGTTAAACAATAATAATAAAGAATCATTAAAAATAGGAATTTTTTTTTGTAAAAAAAAAAAAAAAAATTGTGTATAAATAGAATATGTGTTACTGGATCTTTTCATTTGGTAATCAGCTTATGTGCACATATTTATTCTATTCTCTATCTGCTTATCTTCTTCATATTCTGAAGTTATTCTTCTACTAGATGAACATGTAATGTTATTTTTTTTCAACTCTGCTGTAGGGCAAATATATGCTTATATATATGTTAATTTTGTGAATAATTATTTATATTAATGTAAGTAAGCTAAAGAATGATCTTTTGACATTATCTCATTTAGCTTCAACTATGAAGTGTTTGATAGAATGTTAAACGTACAAATTCAAGTATTTGCTAACTCTTCATCTAATATATATGTCACAAATACACACATCCCAGAGAGTTGATTTAGAGGCAACTATGAAAAACATAGATAGATAGTAATCTAGACGTAACTATAAAAACTTTTTTGTGTGGATAAATATAAAAACCTATTACATGCTGGTATAAAATACTGACAGTTAGAGGTGGCAAATTGGGCCGGCCCTCCAACAAGTTTTTATAATTAAGTTAACATTCCACATTCTTCTTTTATAATTAAATTCTTAAATCTGATCTCAATTATAAATACAAATTTGTAAAATTTCAAATACTAAGGACACAAGTTCTTGCAAACAAAAAATTATTTATGTAAAATGCTGACA